CTTTTAAGAATTTCGAAACGGGAAATAGTTTACTTCCTATTCGCATACCTACAGAATTTACACACCAAATTTCATAACGATCGGTGAAGTCGTTCCGGAGGAGTTTGCAGACAAACACTGTGACACGAGAATTTTATATATTAGAAGATATGTGTGTCCGTCAGCACGATAACTCGAGCAAAAATGATCCGATTTTGATGAAATTTGGTACAAACGTGTAAACGTACGTTTATTCGAACGAGTTTGCGATCCAGCATGATCGGACTATGTGGACGGGGGTTTACGGGGGGTTTTATGGGGTAAAAATAGGGTTTTCCCATTTTTGACCTAAAAAACATAAAATTTAGCAATTTCTTTCCAAACCATTTTGTAGAGCTTCAAAAAACAAATAATTTAGTATATTGAAGCGTTATTATGCGCCTAATGGTTACGGAGAAAATTCCAAAAAATTGTAAATTAAAAATTCCCATGTTATTCTTATGGAGAATAAGTAAATTGTTGTAGTTTGCTTGTTTGTGAACATATTTTGATCAAATTTGGAAAATGTTTTTATTTCTTACTAACAATTCACATTGTACAAAAAAAAACAGTTTTACCCTCCCTCATGCAGCAAACCTAAGTACTTGTTAAACTAATTCTATTTAAATCAAGAATAAATGTTATATTTTTAAGTAGACATTTCAGTGTAAATCCAATCAGTCAAATGGAAATTCGCTTAGTCTGCAGGTTTGCTGCGGCGGGGGTATTTTAATAGTATATGGTAATTAATAGTTCGATATTTTTGAATATCGTATATAGGTACTTTATACCTTATAGGCTACTTATCTATAAATATAACACAATTGTACCGGTTTGGTTGTGGATCTCGGCAATATGAGGAAATTACATATTTCTCCAATGTACGAAACCACTAAAAATTATGTACATCTAAGAACCAAATATTACCTAAGAGGCATATAAAATATTTTATTTGGCAATTATCTTGCTAAGGGTTAAACATAGAGCAACAACTATTTATGTGACTGCTACGAAGTACTGAAATTAGTTAAGCTATGACAGGATTAGACAATTATAAATAGCTTAAACACGTCAGGAAGAAGTCGATCTAATTAAACAACAATTGGGGTTGTTGACCCTAAGCGTAAACAGTGCACAGGGAATACAGAATTAAACAGTAAGGTGTATAAAAGGGGTAATGGTTAGCTGGTCCCGTAATCCGAGGGTCGAAAAAGGTTGGGGCAATAAAACGACTCCACTGGTCCCAAGAGGTCCAGGTAGTTTTGGGGCGGCTAATCCAGTGGGGCAATGAGGCATGAAGCGTGATGCAAACAAACAATAAATACTTGCAGTCCTGACCTCGGCAATGAATGGGGCGAATTTGGGAATTCCCTCGTCAGGTCATCATCCCATCGCGAAGCTCTAAACAATGCACCACTTTACTCTACACGTCAACAACAGCAAATACTTGCAGCGCTCTCGGCATCAAAGAATGTTGCGAATTTGGGGTTTTGTAGCACTCACCTACCATAAGGGGAAGTTGATAAATATACCTTTAAACATCTATGAGAGAAGTAAACAAAATTGAGTAAATTGAGGTAGTACTGTAATAAGAAAAGTTAGTAGGGATATTTATGTTCAAAATCAAATGTTAAGGGGAGAGAAGGAACGTGGAGGAAAAAGAAGACTGTAGCAATGAAATACTTCATCGACAAAAAGATAGAATCTCTTTCAACAGGGGAGATCGACCTGGTCACTTTTAGCGAATTTCCCCTATAGGGAATAAGCTATTACCGTAGTACTCATGGTGAGACCTGGACCCGGGACCGATTTATTTTTTGTTTTGAGGTCCCTAGAGGCAAAAAACACCATCCGTTCAAATTCATATATAACACCACACCCGTCCGTTAGCGTGATAACTCGAGCAAAAATGTCCCGATTTTGATGAAATTTGGTAAAAACGTGTAAACTTATGTGTATTCGAATGAGTTCGCGAACCAGCATGATCGGACTATGGGAACAGGGGTTTATGGGGGGTTTTATGGTGTTTTCCCATTTTTGACCCTAAAAACTTAAAATTTAGCAATTTCTTTTAAACCCATTTTGTAGAGCTTAAACACAAATTATTAGTATATTTAAGCGTTTTTATGCGCCTAATTTTTACGGAGAAAATTCCAAAAATCTGTTATTTTAAAATTCTCATGTTATTCTTATAGAGAATAAGTTAACTGTTGTAGTTTGCTTGTTTATGAACATATTTTGATCAAATTTGGAAAATGCATTAATTTCATACTAAACTATTAACATTTTACAAAAAAAAAAAATTGTTACCCTCCCTGTTGCAGCAAACCTAAGTAGGCATACTCGTTAAACTAATGTTGTTTAAATAGGGAATAAATGTGAAATTTTTAAGGATACATTTTAGTGTAAAACCAATCAGGCGAATGGGAAATCGCTTAGTCTGCAGGTTTGCTGCAGCGGGGTGTTTAAAAATGTGTATCAAACGTTTCCTTACCCAGAGTGGTTTAGTCGAGGGAAATAGAGTCTGTAAATATAGTTTTTAGTCATTTGTAATATGGTAGTTTGTTTGTAAAATCTTTGTAAGCATTCAGTTTGTCGTATTTTTCGTTTTTTCGTATATTTTATGAGTTTTTTGTTTTGTTATCAATTGTAAATATATCTTTTCCGCAATTTAATTTCATATATCATCGTATTTGATCTGGTTTTTGATCAATGTTTATGTCAATTTTTGTGAAATATGTTTTAAAATGTACTTAGTTCTTATTAAATCGTAAATATTCATCTTTTAGCTGTGTGCCCGTTCTACGCACCGGGATCTTATAGTGGTCAGTTGAAACCTTCCTATATAAAGAACAGCAGTTGGTTTGCATATTTTCAAATATGCTGGCCAAACTATTATACATACACAAATACAGTAGGCTATCCTACAGTTTCAAGTAAAAAAAAAAAAAAATGCGTAATAGAACTATAAGGGGTACACTTCCATATCTGTTGGCACAAACAACCAAATGAGTAATATTGATTATTCGATTGTTTAATTCGATATATCGTTTGGTTAGTTAGGTTAGGTTAACCTTACCTAACTAACCAAACGATATTTAGTTAAAATACTATACCTCAACCTCGCTATTAAACATTCAGGTTGGAAATTTCACTATCAAAGGTGTTCTTGTCCTGTCCGTACGGAACAGTGAGTAATATAATATGCGCTACCAACTTATGAATAATTGTTTAGTCCTACGATCCCAAGAGATAGGCAATTGGTCTATTGGCTGTATGGTCCATCGAGCAGCACATAGCGTTGAGAAGACACGTTGGAAAAGCGATTTGAGCATAATCCGTAAACCTCTGTTACAATCACCCACTGCAGTTGTCACTTTACACTTTACACAACCACCATTGAAGTGCCATCAATGAGTTTAAACCTTTTATGTAAGCTATTGGTAATGCTTATGTAAAAAATGTAAGTTTCCCAGCCATATAAAACACTGATTCAAGGTCTTTTTCCCGGTTATCAAAACTAAAAAATCAAAACTCAAGAAAATTTTTATACACAAAGAATCTCTATTTTCATTTACGGTTACCCCACAAATTATTTAACTTGCGATTAATTAAATCCGTTATGTAAGGAAAAACTGTTTTAATCCAACTTGGTTTGGATTTGCTTTTGAAACGTGATCGGAAATGATTGCGGTATTTGTAAATAACATTAAATGTAAACATATCAGTGACATCTAGAGAAAAATAATCTTGATCCGAACAGCTGTTCGCTATTTCATAGATGATTATGTGATAAAAATTGGGAGAAAACTTGACAAAAATCGCACAAAATTGGGTTTTTAAACGTCCGTAAGTTTATTTAAAAAGTAGTGAGGCCATATTTTAATAGCTAAAGACACTCTCGCCAATCCAGTGAATACATTAAAATGATTCGGATCTTGATAGGTACTCTAGTTTTTCAGGAGAAGGCCGCGTAAATGGCTCTTGGGCCGTGATAGACGGAAGACAGGCAGACAGAAATTGAGATGAGACTTGTTTCGGCTTCTTTAATGTATAAAACGTAAAAATAACTTAACAATGTATGATTCTGAGCAATGTACATACAAAACTCTAGTTTTATTTATATAGATTGTTTTAAACACATGTCTTTGTATATTTTTTCAGTTCTTTTATTAACGCATTTGTATTTTATAATAAATATTTTCAGCATGAAATAATCGAAAATTATTCACAACACTGTGTATTAGTATCCTTAGGAATTAAAACCCAATGAATTCTATAACATGCCATATTACTGATACTCATTCGCTGAATCACCTTTTAAACACTTGAAAGTATATAAACATTAATGATGTACTTTTTAATGTTACTGGTAAGTGGTAACACTATCTAAATCCATCAAACACTCTCCAAACATGTGTTTTTAGAGACAACGAAACACCTCAGGCTGCTTCCTCCTACTGATGAATGGGCATTGATAGCTATACACACACTAGCCGTAATCCTGTTAGACAAATTACAAAGGGGCTGCCGACGGGACCAGTGGAAGTGTGGATTAAGAGACCTTACTTGAGACTGGGACCAGTAGAAGTAGGGTACCTGGCTTACGGGACCAGTTGAGTCTGCCCCTATAAAAGTAGGGTGTAGACTAGACAAGAAAACCAATATTTGTTCTTCTTTCCGGCCGGCTTTAAACTTCTGTGTGATTGAGTGAAAATCAATATATACTTCAACTCATATGAGAGCACTGTGCAAGAATGACACACAAACATAAACGTCACGCAAAAATTAGTTTTGTTTTCAAATACGCTACATATGTTTTAGATACACAACTACAGTAGCCAGTAGCTTATGTACAAGAAAATAAAACAATTCCATAGGAAAACCATGCATTTAATGTATCATGTAATATCTGTTTTAAATACAGTAATTAGGTTATGACTGCGTTTTATCTATGGTTCTACAACACAATCAATTCTTACCTCGAATCTCGTGAGTCTTAGTAGGCCTTGTTGAATAACTTCAACTTGAGAAATTAGAATGAGATTGGATAACTAAACGTTTCACAGCGCCGAGCAGCTGAGCTCACTCACGACTCTCTGCGTATTGTGGCAGGAACAGCTGATAGTGAATACTGAATAGGAATACCGATGCACATAAAACCGGTTTCGTGCTTCATAAGAAAGAAAAGAAACTAGGGTAGTGGGGTGGCTACCGCTACCTACGTTAGTACAGTTCAGTGCCGGCGAGTCACAGCACACCTGTCTGGCGTCTGCATCACAATTGACAACACAGACACGACAATCACTATCAGATGGGACTACCTACTGACTACTGAACTGCGCCAGAACTTGCCCCCTCCACATACAACCAGCCCTGACCTCCACGTTCATTCAATAACAAAACAACAGAGAATGAGAAGTGACTGACATGGTGCATACGCCTATGAATGTTTAGCTAACCATTCAAAATATTCAATATTTTTTGCAAATTATATAGACATTGAAACATATATTCAACATTACTATTATAATATAAGAAATATATTACATACCATTTTAGCGAATTTCCCTATAGGGAAGTAGCTATTACCGTAGGCCTCATGGTAAGACCTAGACCCGGGACCGATTTACTTTTTCGTTTTGAGGTCCCCAGAAGCATTAATACAATCCGTTCAAATTCATATAGCCTACCGTACATATTTATATTTATATAGGCTATGTAGGCCTACCTGTTAACACGATAACTCGAGCAAAAATGTTCCGATTTTAAAGAAATTTGTTATGTTGATAGTGGATACTAATCCACGGTCTCCAGGCGTTTTTTTTTTAATTTTTAGTGGTGATTTTTCCATAAAAACCCATAAAATAAAATAAAATCGGATTTTCTCGAAAATGGACCGAAAGATTTTGATTAAATTTTAGTATGTTATATTCCTTACACATCTGAACAAAATAGTACAAATCCAATTTCCGTAAAAATTACGGTTCAAAAGTTATTTTAACTTATGTCATTTTCCCATAAAAAACCATAAAATTAAGAAAAAATAGGATTTTAGGAATAAGCCGGTTTTGATCAAAATTAATGATTTATGGAGCTTATAGGTAAACCAAAATATATTACAACCCCCCATTTCTGTAACAATTACGATTCTAAAGTTATTTCAAATTTTGTGATTTTTAACTATAAAATATCATAGTTACTCCCACCGCTTACCCAAAGGTCGTTGACAAGCTTATGGGAGAAAGTACGTGTCAGATTGCTGATACCGTTTATTTTTTACTGCATTACTATAGCGTGATTAATAATTGTGCCGTGTGATTCAACTACGGTATCATATAGCAAGGACATAAACATGGTGTGACTACGCTTCATTCACCATAGGTCAGCGAATAGGTTATCGTCAGATAAAAAGACAAACGTATCACTAGAGGAGCAAATTATACAAATAATATTTTCTGTACAATTTGTTTGCAATTTTTGGGTTTATGGAGGGTTTTATGTGATAAAAAGGGGTTTTTCCTATTTTTGACCCGAAAACATAAGATTTTGGAATTTCTTTCCCAACCATTTTGTAGTGCTTAAAAAAAGAAATAATTTAGTATATTGAAGCATTTTTGTATGCCTAATAGTAACGGAGAAAATCCCAAAAAGTGTAAATTTAAAATTCCCATGTTATTCTTATGGAGAAAATGTAAACTGCTGTAGTTTACTTGTTTATGGATATATGTTGATAAAATTTGGCAAATTTATTTATTTCATCCTATACTATTGACATTTGGGATGAATGACGTAAAAAAAGCACTTTTTACCTTCCCTGTAGCAGCAAACCTAAGCACTTGTTAAAATATAATGCTATTTAAATTGGGAAAACATCTTATTGATGGAAATATTTTAGTAAAAATGTAATTAGACAGGTTGAAATTCGCTTAATCAGCAGGTTTGCTGCGGCGGGGGTATTTGTTAATTTTTGCAATACGGCTGTACCATTGTTGGTATTTCTAATTTTATTGTAGAAAATTAGTGCTAGTGCTAGTTGAATTGTATAATTATTGCATGTCACTTCTTGTTATTTCTTGAATGCCTTGGCAATTTACCGTTGGGAGTCAAATAAATAACCGAAACAAGGACTTTTGCATTAAATATCCAAACAACCTACTTGATCTGAACTATTGCAGAAAGCATCATGACTGTCATTTAAGGGTTCTTTTCAAAAAGGCACAAACATTATCCTCACATAATATTTTTATATCAAACATTTTGTCATGACTTTGTCTTTTAGTAATTAATTAAAGAATTATGAACTTGACTTTATGTGAATAAATAAAGGATAATAAATTAAATAAGAAGACATATTATGAGTGCCTCAGGATTTTGACCTACAAACTTTAATATTTTTACAATTAATCATCATCAAAGCTGGTTAAACTGATTTTTTTTTGTTTGGCAAAGCTTATTTAAATGGCACACTAATGGTTTTCTTATAGAATAAAATATTGATAAGACTTAAATATTTTGTTTATCTGTCTGGTTACCAGGCCTTGTAATCTAACTTTGACCTTTTTTGACTTATAAAATGTAGGCCTAATTTTATTGCTGTTTTGACAATGGCCGTTGTTTTGTACCTGTGAGTTTGAGTTTACATTTACAGAAAAATAGCATAATGTTTGTTACAGCTAAATCAGTTAATAAAAAAAAAATTAATAACTTAAAAGTTAAATTTTAAAATTTTATGGAATGATGGACAATTTTAGCAGTCATTTCAAACAGGGATTCATTTGATCTTGAAATACAGGGCCTGTAAACGGCTCATTAACAGCTTGAGTCATAGTGATCAATAATTATTATTGTTGTCCAGTAACGTCTCATCACATGGCATTGGCATAAAACGAGTAAGATGTCTTATCACATGGCAGTAGTGATGTGCGTATTGATACAAGGACCGCAAAATATCAATATTTTGTATCGATACGTGGGAGTGTATCGATATGCCCGTATCGATCGATACACCTATAGCCAATATCGTATCGAATATCGTATTGTTTATTTATTAATATATAAATCTTATTTTTATGGTAAGAAATTTGTCTTCCCATCTTCCTACCCTCAAAATTAGTAGTGGAAATTTGATATTTTACCCTAGCATCTTCATAAACACTGATAAAACATGTATTTTCAGTAATGTTTTGCAAATAACCTCAAAACTAGGTCCACCATTAATGGAAGTGGGGAGTGGTGGGGACCCTCATTATCCATATTATACTATTTAATGTGTAAGTGGCATACCTACCGTCATTACTAGTACTTTTTGGTTTAATTAATTATCCCTGTGTAAAAACTAGGAAAACAATAACAATGTTTTCCAATTTTGAGGGTTTGCCGGAATTTGGAGGTTACGTATATGTATGTTTGATACAAATAAAAAGACACAGGAAGGAAACGGCTTATCTGAGGTAAAATTACAAGCACTAACCCTCTTTACAAGCTTGTAAGTAACATAGTATTTGTCTATGCAGCTTGTATATTTGAGATATTTCAATTTAAAATAAAAAAATTATAAATAAGCAATACGATACGATATTTTATCCGATACAGATAAAAATCGATACATGAGGATACGATGCGATACACGTATCGATACACGTATCGATACACCACGTTCCGATAGTATCGATATATTGACCCGTATCGCCCATCACCACATGGCAGTAACATCTACAATAGCTCAGGTACACAACAACCTCTCCGTCATCGTAACTTTTTAACCAGGCTTGATATTTCTGTTATTAGTCTTTTTAGCCATTAAACCTGAAATTTATATAGATACTTGAACAAAACAAAGTGAGGTTTTGACATAGGGAAAGTGCTTAAATTCAAGTCAAATGGTGTGTTAGAGCTTAAAAAGTAATATTTTAAAAGAATACCAATAAAAACAATTAATTTGTTTTTACCCATACAATTAACAATGGTCCCAGCTTAAAAAAAAACTCCTATTCAGGTGGGTGGGCTTTTCATGTCACTGGTTAGACTTAGACAATGTTTAGTACAGAATTGTGTACCTATCATTATCAGATTTTATACTAGGCCAGCTTATTTTATCTTGTTAAATTTAATTTTTTCTTTAATATATTTAATAACATTTTAATACTATGTAGCAATTTTCAAAATTATGAATTCTACATTGTAAAATGTTTAAAGGACGATAAAGATTCTTATTCTTTATGTGGAAACACATTATTGTAGAGATCTCATAGCAAGGGGAGAATTCAATACTGCATCTCAGGACAAATATAATCTATATTTGATTTAAACATACAAAATTACATATATTACAGTTTACATAAAACAATACAGGTATGTGGCTGAATCCTAACCCTACAAAACAATAATAAAATGTCTATAACTAGAGTAAAATCGAATAAAAAAATTCGTTGCTTGTACACCAAGTTACTATGTATATAAAACGAATGAGATCAAAAAATAACTTGAGTTGACTTTGGCTGAAGTAAAGCTTTTAAATATATAAAATTGTAAGACATTAAAATGACAGAAACTACGAATAGTAAAAATGACGACTCAACCCATACAATTGTGTTATCATAAGATCTATCTCTTGAAATTGTGTGAAGGCTAAAGTGCAAAGTAATATCCACTTTGACCTCACTCTTACAATCATAACCAAATCAATCAAAACAGGCCAATCGCTTATATTACAAAACAACATAGATTTGATAAACATTAAAAATTAGATACTTCCACTGAAACAATTTATTTCTTGATCTGGATTATATCTTGTTTTTCTTTCCAAGGAGGGAAAACAATAAAAATAAATCACAAACAAACAAATCTCAAAGTTAAAATAAACTGAATTAACATAAACATTGATTTTTTTGAATATTTATGAGAGTAAATATCTGAGCTTACAACAAATACAATAACAAAAGTATTATTAGAAAAATATACAGTGTGCAGTGTGATTACAACAATAATAGAAACAACACTGTCTTAAGCACAGTTTCTCAGTTACTCAATATTGGGATACATTACATTTTTAACTTAATTAAGGCAAAGGTAAAATATTTACAATATTATTGAAGCTCCTCACAAATCAAATCTAACAATGAACAACTATAAATTATTTAAAGCCATAGTCAACCCAAACAACAAATAAACATGGGCTAACATACATTATCTATAGTACACCTATAACATATATGCAAGGTTTAACATCAAAACTTTGTCAGAGATTCAATATTAATAATAAACGATATATATATACATATTTGTTAGACCTTACTTTAAAAATAATTGTGCACAGAAAAATAATTGCAAATATTATAACTATCAGTAGGCCTAATCATTTTATATTACAGTATATATACCTTCCCTTCATGTAATCTTCTCTTTAAAAATAAATATACATATACACTTCTTTTATTATTCTTATTTATTAATACCACAGCATCAGTCAAGTTATATACCCATAATCAGTGTTTTTCAGTTAATATTAAAGCTTAAAATAATTTACAACTTAAATCTGTGTGTCTAACCATTGGAAACTCATAAAAAAACTTTTTCAATAATATTTGTCAACTGAATCAGAAAATGTCATCTGTTTTTATAGGTTAAAGGTCAACACACAACCGATCGTCCATCCGTAAGCAGACGGACGTCGGCACACAGACAAACATATCGCTTCCCTGCATATTAAATGAGCCAAAAAACAGACACTCAGGAATCGCTCACCGCGATTCACCGCAGACGTGTGTGCCATGAAAGTTTCCCCTCTTCTAAGGGTAGTGAACCTCCTTTAACCCCTGTACCCCCGAAGCCCGTTGAAAAACTTATAGTCACAGTCATGCAGGCCCTCATTTGTAACTGGTAGGTGTGTTGACTGTTTTATTGGGGCTTGCTAGTTTATAATCTAAGTTATATTATTATATTATAAGTTAAATATGGAACAGTTAATATGACGGCTCACGTACATGTCTAAGGGGCAAGAGACTAAAATTGTACCATGACATTGCTGCAAAAGTAAAAACCTGGGGTGTGGATCGTCCGTCCACTGGATGGACGATTTGGTGTGTGTTGGCCTTAACAATCAATAACTTGTTGGACGATTCAGATTTTTTATAATGATAGCTTGTCAGCAGTCAGAATTGTTGTGACAGCCACACTACCGTTTAGAAGATGAGGAGGGTTTCTTAATTTGATTATTGGACAAACCACAATTTAATTATTAAATTGATTTGACACTTGGTAACTATTATTTTACATAAAAAAAATATTTAGTGGGAAATGATGTGTAAGTACAGCAACCATCCATTTTAACATAAGTGTGGGCTTTGATAGCACTATTGTTAAAAATCTGGACCGTTTGTTGAAGTCCTGATACTGGAAATGCTAACTCACTTCCATGTAGCTTACTCAACATTTTTTTCTTTTTTACACTATTGGCAACATGTTACAGCAATGGGTTTATAACATTCTCAAATATATGTGTGCTCAATATTTTTTTGAAATAATTTGGAATCAATCAACTAATCTAAACAAAGAAAAATACTGTAACTTGTAGGGATTAAAATGTTTAATTTAAATTCAACCCTCCCCCTCTCTCTGTCGTTAAACTAAAGTTACTTTTTTATTCAGTGGGCGATAAAATATTAATATTAACAAGTCTTTTTAACCAAACAAGCTACTGTGTGAACAATGTAAAAATTCAATAATCTCCAATTGCATAAAACAATACCCTCTATCTCATAACGAAAACTTAAAATAACATGGCAAATATTACACAACAGTTCTACTAGTTGTTTCTGTTACAATAAAAGAACACAATAAGGGACAAACTAAATACTACTTGATGAACGATGGGAATATTTGAGCATGTTTATAAATTACTAAGGAGCACAATGTTGTTTATGAAAGAATTTGTACAATTTTAAAAACTGAGTTGCAGAACCCAAAGCTTATCATCACTAAAACGAAAATTAAAGAGATTTTTAAAATTTGTAATTAAAACAGTGAACATTTAGAAATAAATATTAAAATTGTTCAAAATATTTCAAACATATTGAACAAAATAAATACAATTGAAAAATAATAAAATCACACTTAGCCAACTCATTAAAACTAATATTATCATATAATGATAAAAGTAATACATTTTAATATTAAAATGTAACTACTTTATAATTAATTTTTGAAGTATTATAATTGTTAAAAACTAGGGCCACTTCAGAAGGCAATGGGAATTTGATCACATAGAAAAGGTTATTCTGAATAATCTGTTTGATTTAAGTATTTAATTAAATATCTTAGTTATACAATAAGAAGACCTTAGTTGTTAAGCACAATTTTTCTCATACTCTATGAGTATTTGCACTTATTTTAAGTTTATGAGAACTACAGTAACATTCTTTTAATCATGATTATTGAAAAAATATGCGACTCCATACACTCAAATTTTTACATCTTCCTATTTGATGATAAAAGTAAACAAAGGTGTTTCTTTTAATTCCACACTTACGACAAATAACAACTATATATGTGACAATTATGTTGTATTGAAATAGTAGTAAATAACACAGAACTACACCTAACACTTGCAAAATAATTTCATGCTTGCGATCACAGCAATTTTCCGCAAAAATCAGGTGAATATGATTAACACATATTACCATCACAGAATTACAAATATTGATGGAAAAGAGTAATGAGTTTTTGATGTGTCAAACTAACAAGTTGACTTAGCAGCAAATCACTTTGTGTAACAACAAAGTAGGTATATAACCACATTCCACTTAATTTGTTGTTGGAAAACTATTAAAATGGACTGTCAGTTTGTGTATGGACACTGGGGTCATTGACCTCCCCTCCAACAACCAGGTTGTCTGTTGTTCTAGTGTTCTGATTGTGTTTAAGCAATTACAACTGCCAGAGACATCTAATTAGCCACTGGATGGTTGTTCCATTTGATCAACACACCACTTTATACTCATTGTCAAATATCCAGACCTTTACTTGGTAACCATACTCAAACTAAATAGTTAGTTTAATATAAGCAAAACAAAAAATACCCAAATAAAACTATTGATTGAAGTGGGTCCTAACTTTGCACAGTTCACCGAGCAAATATGCTAAATTACACTTAACTTATTACTACACAAATTAGAAAGAATAAAATACTTAGGAAACAGCATTTTGGTTTTAAAGCTCTTTGGTAGACTTCAGAAAAATTACAGTACCAAGACCAGCTGGTTATAAACAATAAAAAAATATATTCAACCAATCTAGATCTTGGTTATGAGAAACGAAAACTAATAGTAAAGGCGAAAATTTTGCCACAAAACAAACATAAGCTCGTCATTTGTACAACAATGTAACACTCATCACCTAAAACACTAAAACTAAACTAAATTAGGCCTACCATTTAAAACACTGAAAAACTAAATATATGTAAAATAAAATATTTAATTAAGCTCTTTATCGTATTCACTGAGTCTTGCTACACCAAAATAAGCACCTGTTTCAACTTTGCCTATTGTTTAACTTCTCCAATAAAGCTTACTTATGAAACACAATGTTCACTGTGAGCTCAGTAGCACTTTTACTGTCTACACTCTACAGGGTCGAAACAGAAAATAGTGTTAAGTGTTCAAGGTTTCTCATTTGTTGAACACAATCATTATACATAAGTTAAAAATTTATATTCAAGCAAAGCACATGTTCGTTATGCCTTTGGTTTTAGCAAGCCTTAATGTAATAAATTAACTTTTTCAATTACAGAATATGTTTTAAATGACTTAACAAGTTTCTTAAAAAGTAAATATAAAGCTTCGGTTTCTGCTTCAGAGCCGTAAGACACTAAATCTGGAACTTTTGATTGGACTTCATGAAATCTTCTATTTGCTTCAAATAACGTTTGATTAATGATTTTCAACTGGCAAATTTCATTATTGTCCTTGTGATGAAGATATAAATTAACAATTTATATAATGTTATAATGTTCGTAATTACATGTAACCGAGGGATAAATCTACTTTTACAACAACAACAAAATAATGGTCAAGATGACAGCATCTTGGCTTTACATGTGAAGTAAAAAATCAAGAAGGTTAACAAACTTGAAACTGTACTACTAATGTGTAAAAAAACTCCAGTTCCAAGCTAAAACAATGAAGCTAGCAATGGCATGCTTCCATATCTGTACTATCGGAACCATCGGAGAACAGATCTCGGTGTAATGTTGTTTATTTTACATTACTAGGCTATCGTTCATCCAGGAAGGTCTGTTCAACATTTTTATAGGATAGTATTTTTTGTAATACTTTTCAGATTTCTTATCTGAGTGACAAGAGAAATTAATGTTGTAACATAAGAGGTAATAAGCTAAACATATGGTCAGTGACGACGGCCAAGCACCCGTTGGTTGGTCGGGCTGGTAACACTGCACAACACGGTTGGCAACACTGCAGCTTGTGTCACCTTCTGTAGACCTCAGAGCCAGTTGAGACTGAAGTCTGAGCCAGACCTGAGGAGACACAGTGAGTCTCATTCAACCGCAGGAGACTTGCGAGACTTGGAGTACGATGACCGAGCCAATGACGACGTCCCTTCCACATCCAACAACGGCTCTATGACATACATCGGAACGTTAAAATGTCCTCAACATATGGCTAGTTTTTAAATTACATTTGAGGAATAAATATTGTTCATTTTGAAAAAAATACATTTATGGCTGTTTAAAAGTAAAAGAAAACATTTAAAAATAATATTATTAATTTCCTTAACCCATCATAGTATTTCATTGTGGTCTAGTATCTTATCATATGAATCAGCAATATATGGTGTAAAATGTAACAGTATTCCAAACTCTGAGTTTTATTTTTGATGACTTTGACTACAAGTGTTTATGGATGTAGTGTAAAACAAGGTAGCAACTTACAAGCAGTAAATCCACTTACCCATTACTAGTATCCTAAATATGTCAATTTAAATAAAATTTGTTTAAGAAAATTATAAAAAATGGGCCTTAGTAGAGCAGTTTTGACTGTAGTCGTTCACAGCCATAGAATATTACAATTACCCAAAAAAATTTCAGTGCAATAATAAAACCTTTGAACAGTTATAAGACTTCCCCTAATGATACAAATTTTCTACAGTTCAATAGATTCTGTTAGATTCCCCAGATTCCCGGTCATTTGGACAAACTAAAATCATTTTAGTTCATAGAGGAAATAAGAACAATGAATTAATCCAAATTAAAGTGATATTTTTAAATTTAACTAATGAGCACACCTTTATCCGTCGGGGAACCCAAAGTTAAACTTGACAGGGACGATGATAAGTTCATGTTGGATGAAACAGAGAGCATGGAGGGATACTGGACCAACTCCATCTCCCCCTCCTCTCCTGGTAGACAAGTCTCCACCATGGCCTCCAGACAGTTGACAAACAGTTCAGCACTCTCTGCTGTGGCATTGCTCTGCACAACACAAAATGTAGATACTATACAAGCGCTATGACAATTTGATGTGAAGGCAATAACTCTTTAAAAATGTAAATTATTAATAAATGAAACAAGATAATAGTTAAAAAACCAATTTGTTATTTTGCAGGTGTAATTTAGTCACAATTCTTTAGCTGATAAAACTTTGTTTTGTAATTCTTGACTGTTAGCAGCAAACATTAACTTATTTAAAAATTTATCATCTTTGTAGAATGTGAAAATGCAAACACTAACATGTATAATGTTACCTTAGCAAATGGCCCAGAAAACCTCCACAGTCCTCCAAAGCCGCAAGACTGAAGGTAATGTAGCTGCTGTTGGCTAGTGTCCTCACAGGCAATCATGTTCTGGATGATGCTTTGGACAGCACTGAGGATGCTTTGATCGTGACACATCTGTAATACACTGGTCAGGCGAGCGTCCAACAGGCTGTGACTGTAACAACAGATGAAAAATCTTAATACACAATAGAACTCTGATTATCTGAATCAATTGGGACCATACCACAAATTCGAATAACAAAAACCTCAGATAGTTGGATCTTAACTAAGATTTAGGGTATTTCAATGAAAAACTCTTAATTTTTTTATACTATACTTTTACTATCACGATCGCGGAACTCATCTTGTGACAGAAAAATCACGTTTTTATACTTAATACTGTTCAATGAAATGGCGACCATACATAGTAGGTATTTTAAGCCAAGTATGAATGGAGATGAGTGTAGGATGAGTGGCGCGATCTTGTAGTCTTGTTAGTGACTACGGCCGACATTCCCTAGACACAGCTGTTAATTAATAGCCCATACAGCTAATGGCAACTTAGGGACCTACAGTTTATAGTGGAATCCGAACCACATTTTTTCCTTGGTATATACAAATTGGTCTAATTATCAGGATAGTACTGCGGATAGTCGTAGTACTCACTCGTGCGGACGTTAATCCACACCAGGGAGTATCACATCCACAGTGCATGCCTATAAATATCCACAATTTGTGACCTCCTAGTAGCTGGATTACAGGACGACGCCACCTGTCCCAGTCATGATTTTGTCATGATTGTGGAGGACTAAGATAGTTTTCATAGCTATGGAAGGTGTTAAAACATGAAAATGATGTCTACTCTACCGAGGGAGATATTCAAGATTTGGCTGCAATTGTAGAAGATTATGTGTTGTTATTCATATGTGTTTATTAACATATGGTGTTAGAATATTATTTGTTTAGTTTTTGTTGGTAAACATTCTGGATCTTGATTTTATTGTAAAAACTACCTAATAAAGTATTTGTCTTATTGAACTATATTTTAATTTAACTTGCGATAACACTACATGGTGGCAGCAGGTTTTTTATTGTTTTAGCAATACAGTACATAAAGATGAATGGTTTTAGTGTTCCTTCCCCAGAACATTTTGATTATAACCCTCCAAGTGTCCATAGTTTAGGCCTTAATGTCCACCTATTTTTGGCGCATTTGCAAGGTTTTATTAAAACGGATCTGAGAAGCTTAAAACGATGTTAATTCTAATGTTCTATATACCATTTTGTTTGGAAAATCATGGGCTTCAATATTATATATAAAACATAAGGAACATTTTTTCAAAAAAAAAATTTTTAGGTAAAAAAAATATAATTTCGAAAATTTTCAAAAAAAAAATAAGTTCGCGCTCAATGAAATTGTATAAATTATAGGCCTATAAATATTTGAAAATAGCCACTTTGTTCTAAATTTTATGAGGATTACAAATATATAATAATATAAGGAAGTATATTTGCAAATAAATAAGTTATGGGCAAAAAACTGATTTCAGTACATAGCGTTTAGCTAAGAATGCATAGCCTAACCATAGCTAGGAATCTGGCTGATAATTTACATCAATATCACTACCTACTTCTTCAGGATCATCAACCAGCACTTCAAAACCACTTAAATCTTCTTATAATGCACCACGTATATCACTACTTTTGATTTTTAACACTAAAACAATGATAAACGTAATAAAACACATCAGTCATCGGTCCGGGGGAACCTAGCTGTTTACAAATACACGCACGTCAGCTGTCTGCTACAATATTTTCGGAACTAAAATGAATAGCGCTTAGAGACAGACCTCTGCAGAAAGCTTAGAATATTACGGAAAGAACGATACCTAACTCGATCCAGTTCAATCCGATTCAGTCAGTTATAGAGCCTTCGCCGTAAACGATGTCTGCTTGTCGAAAAATCGGCAAGTAACACTATACAAAGTGTGGTGCTTGCCGAATTTTCGTCAAGTAACACTGGGAGGGTTAAAGGAGAAAACTGGTCTAAATGGAAAACCCGTTTCTTGCGCTTTCATGCGGTATCTGGGCTCACCAATGAAGAAGAACCATATCAGGTAAACATCTTACTATATATGATGGGCGAAAAGGCCGAAAGCATATTTGAATCATTTAATTTGACATCTGAGGAAAGTAAAAGTTTCAAGACTGTTTTAACAAAATTTGATACATATTTTGCTCCTTCTAAGAATGTAATCTATGAGAGGTACATGTTTCATACTAGGGTTCAACATGAGGAAGAGCGTGTTGAGTTTGATTCATGATCTTCATGAGATGGCTTCTAGATGCGATTTTCCTGCTTCTTATAAAGATGAGGCTATACGAGATCAACTTGTTGTAGCGATTAGAGACAAAAGTTTATCTGAAAAACTACAAATGAATGCAGATCTAACACTTAATTCTGCTGTCTCAAATGTTAAGCAAGCCGAATCGGTTAAAATGCTACAATCATTAATGAGGTCTAATTATTATAATGTCTACTCAATCACAGGAGAGGTTCAAGATTTTTGAGACGGTGATGATGTTTACACAACTGCGGAATATCTTCAAGATACAGCTGTGACCACAGAAGACGATGATGTTTCCGTGACCACAGAAGACGATGATGTCTATTCGAACATGTGAGATCATCAGGATTTCGCCGCGGTCATGGCTTAAGCCTTTTAATTAAAAAGTTGTTATTAATGTAGTTTAGGTTTTTAGAACAGTTTTTGTTACCAAATTAATTATGGTAATTGGCAATTCGGAAAGTTGGAGTTCTACAGTAAATCTATATTCTTACAAGACATTTTTATATCATGGTTGAGGCTTAAGTGATGTAATTTTTTATGAACTCCAACCCCACTAACACCCACTAACATTTGACTCTAATAACTTGCAAGACCGAAGACAGTAACTTACATGACAGGAAAGACTCTAGGGAAGACTATAGAAGCCTCGGCCAGGTACTGGTAAAGTATCCTGGTCTCATTCTCATCACTTGTGTATTTAACAAGTGTCGCCAGTACTGTCAAGACTAGCGCTTGAGTGGAGAAGTCAGTCAACACTTCTGGGTCTAACAGTACGTTGTTCTCATTGGACACTGAGACTCGAGCACTGCGATTCTGTAACATGATCACTTAGAAATGATTTAACGAGCATTAACTTGTCCCAACCATTCACTGCTTTATTATCTGGTCATTGCAACAGTTGAATATGTAACCAAACAAGGTTTGCGTAAATTTAAATAAGGTTTAAAGTTTGTATATAAGTGTAATAGAATACTTTCAAAGTAAAATGGAATATTTGTATTCAAACACCCTTGATCTATTGCTATCAACAGTTTGGCACAGTCAAAAACTAAGTACTTATTGTACCATTAATATTGCAGGAGAAATGTGATAACAATTCTAATTGAAATGTTCAAAATTCACTAAATTCAGAAATGTAAAATCTCCTAATTAATTTTGTAATAGATATCCAAGCAAATCTCTGCAATTCTATCCCCTCTCCCTCATAACCCCATATTAAAACAGTAATACTTTTAGAGAAGTTGATTAGAAATCACAGACACAACATTTTAAAATTGTAACCCATTGAAATTTTATACCATAAGAATTATATACATTCAGAATTAAAATTCAGAAACATCAGCTTGAAAGATGCTAAGATAGCTCAATCAGTGAAATTTTTACATCAAAATTCTCTTAGACCAATTAAAACTATTGTGTATGATTGGTTACGCACTTTCGTGTATCTTTAATCTTATAATAGTAGTCTGAGGATTACTAGTTTTGAGGCATAAGACCCATTGTCAAATGGAACAAATATCAAATTCATAGTCTATAAGTTCAACTGACGTCCTCATCAATGAACACACATCACAAAGTTAACATTTTAAAACTCAGAAAGAATTCTTAATACATTGATTTGTCCTAGTTTGGCTAGCCTAGCTTGTATTAAAAAATTTTTTTGTGATTTTAAATACTAAATTAACGTGTCGATGTGTTTAATTGATGCAGAAGTCAGTCGGATTTGATAGACAATCAATTTGATGTTGGATTTGACAATGGGTCTTATGTCTTGAAACTAGTAATCCTCAGACTACTATTAAGACTGAAGATGGACAAAGGTACGTAACCTACAGTATCATAATATGTTCCAAAATCGAAGAATGATTTAAAAACTACTGCAGTCTCGATAACTTTTTGTATCAGTAATGTTGAATAACTTGGCAAATAGTAAAACCTAACATAAAAACTATAAAACTTATATTTGAGCACAATAATATAAATGAGAAAAAATATAGATTGTATGAATAATGACTTATAATGTGACTTTGGATTTGAATACTAAGTCTATCTTAGAATGCCAGATAAAGAGGGCTTACGATAAACAATGCATAATACTTGCATAGAATTAATATTTCATAACGCTGGAAGTTCAAAGATAAGGTAATAATAACAAAGTCAAATTATAACTAATAAAATGTCATTTTAAAGAAAAAGATGTGTGTTGTCTCACACATTTTATTTAAACCTAGCATCTATTCATAACGTTTCAGCAAGTCAGTAACATGCAGTCATTAAACCAAATTATTTCAAATGAATGCCTCAGAAGGGCAATCGTTGACGGGGAAGTTAAAACAGTGCTGAGGACTTGTAGTATCAGTCATCACATGACGGTGGTGTAGTGCGGTGCGGTGCGGGGGGAGAAGCAAAGGGGGCACATGCAGCTTACTCGCTCTCCAGACTCTGGCGGGGGACAGTCTGCGGAGGGGACAGAGGACGAGCGCTGCGTACGGTAGAGGGGGGGCGGGGCTAGATCCAGGCTACGCCACCCTTTATTACTACAACTAGCCTCCCCCACCTGGTAACCGCAAACTACCACTAGCATTTTAAACTCAACTAGCCTTTTATACACCTTCTCATCATAACTATGTTTTATGGATTTTAATAATTATATTCAATACCAAAGAAATTACTGTAAACTGTACACTAATACATGTTTGTAATAAACTATATGGAGGTTCACAGTTTGATTATGATTGTTTACCGTAATAATACACCTGGGGTTTTCTTCAATATAAAACACAAGAAGACCCTTCACAACATATGCAGATCCCACTTACTATATTGGCTGCCTGGCCTGTAGCCCACAACACAATGCTGAATTTATAGGAGTGTAAAATTTCCAAAAATTGTTTTACAAAATTTGTTTTTATTAGTCTGTAAAAAAATATAAACAAATTTAAATTTATTATTTTAACCACCGAATAGTGTCATAACTTGTTTCAGCAGCTTTTATTTGAAAACTACTTTTATTTCCCCTCCCCGGCAGAGGGAAGAGGGCCAAAGCTGTCTTCATCCCCGAGCCCAATGATCAAGGACAGCCGAGTCTAGTTTCCAATCATCAAAAAGCTACTGACTATTCTCAGGATCTAACCGGCAACGTTTTGATTACTAGACGAGCAAACACTATAACTCAAGCTACATAGCTGGAGCTATTAGTTTTTAAATATCAAACATGTTTGAACAACAAATTTCTTATCATGCTGACTACACAGCAGGGCTAACTTTTGAATAGGAAATGTATCCGTGTATAAATTCACCATTACCAACTAAAATGTACAGAAATTTAAAATCTGATGACGTTAATTTAACAACAAAGATTTTTTTAACAATACCTTTACCTTTAGGAGTTTTTCAACTATTCCTTGGACAAGATGCAATCAAATTCAGTAATTTCAGGACAATTATTAAAGTCTATAGGTGATTACCATATTAATAGTGTGTTTTAAGAACCAACGGAACAAACCAAAACTAGTTTTCTTAATTTGACATGGTAATGTTTTTATATCAAATTAAACCGTTTGTTGACACAAAGAAAAACTTAACTTAAAATGCTTTTTGAATTTTGATTAGAAATAAATAAGTTGCATATACCTATTTTTATATTATTTGTTGAAATACATCTCAGCTGTCTTTCAACACTTGAAACCAATAGGTCTTTAACCTTCCGTCGGGCGCATTGATTTTCAAACACCAAAGGGCGCTCAAGGAAGTTACCTCCGGGAGTACAAAAACTATACAATGATGAGCAGAAAAAACATTTTAATAGCAATAAAACTGTTAGAAAACATTTTTTTATGAGTTATTACATTATTTATTACTTAAGTATTATATCAAATAGAAAATGTTATAATAAAAAATAAAAACACATAAGTGTTGTGGATAAAAAGACTTACTTTTTGTACTTCTACAGTACTGTCGTATATTAGAAAACAAATTTTAATATTGTATGACATATAAACACGTACATGGTCTAATGAAAATAATCATTTTGTATAAGGACAACTCATTCAATCAAAGCTCTTAGACAAAAATTGCATCAGTGTATGACATAAAAACACCTATTGTATTATGAAAAAGATAATTATTTCATAAGGACAACTTACTTTGTCCAAGCTCTTTAGAAAAAGTTGCAATGGTGTTTGAAATGAAACACCTATTGTCTAATACATACATTTTGACTATACATTTTGGCAAAGCTCTTTTTCTTGGAAAAAAAGGTTTCCGAACTCACGCACCATTAGTTCTTTCTACTAAATGTTGTTCCTTGTCCCCCCTTTCAACACTAGCCAACAATCTCGCAATTAGTTCTTCTTCATCCATTTTATAATATCGCTAAATAAGGTCAAACACAAGGGCGCACACGGAACTAGGCTCCGGGAAACCCGTTACATCACAGGGCGCTCACGGAAGCTACTTCCAGTAGTGACGCGAACCACTCCCCAAAGTCAACTGACAACTGGGAAAAGGGTAAGAGTATACAAAACCGATCCCGCAAGAGATGTTCGTGAGGTAAATCAGGCCACAGCCCTGCCGAACACATAGTTTTTATAACGAAAAAAGTAGTGACCCGGAGGTAACTTCCGTGATGCGCCCGATGGAAGGTTAATGAAAGTATTGACAGCAACATAGCATAGTAGCTTATGACATATTTTCTATTACCTGAGCCTGTTGTTTGTGTTGGCGCGCCTGAGCAATAGCCGACTGGTCTAGGAGGTCCCATGACTTCTGGCGTCGTCCTGTGGACATTGCCTCACATTTGCTGCCAGCCATAGCAACCACTACCTGTACAGGTAATATTGCTTTGACAACTGTTTCACATTTTTAGTAACACAACAACTTGTTTTAAATGTGAATGGATTTATTATAAAATACTCCCGCTGCAGCAAACATGCAGACTTAGCGAATTTCAATTTGTCTAAATAATTGGATTTATACAATAGTTATTTGTGTAACTAGTGGGCAAAGTGGCACTTCACACGATGGAAAGATTCTCGAGTACAGCAAAGACAGTTTGCACTCGGGGTTACACATTATATTTTTACTACAGTTACTATTAATCATACAGGGTGTATATAAAGTCCCGCACGGGCTTAATATTTTCCAAACGACAACAGATAAATCAATAAGATTTGGTACATCAACACCACACCTAAAAATCTACTTTTTCAAGGAACTATCAATTTTCTGTCATATCATGGGGATGTCCCGCAAAGGAGTCAGAAGGAAATATTAAATAGAAGCATAGGTTGGCATGTACATCAAATTAAAGGTCTTTACTAGCAGAATATAATGCCGCAAATTTGAACTCAAACGGACAACCGAGCCAATAATGACAGTTGTTCAAAGATTAATTTAATTTGCATTGCTATTATTCCCCTTACCCTTCGCAAACGGGTGATGGACATATCCGCCTAAGTCTTTGGTGATAAAGGACGGATGATGGATATATCCGCTTATGGTTATTGATGTTCCAGACAGGAAGCGGTTATATCCGCCTTATCTTCAGACAGACTGGAAGGTGCTTGAGCAGTAACCAGATGTTTCACGGTACCAAGGCCATGCTTTCCTGCTCTCTCCATGGCTGCGCTATCCCCCTCACTCCCCCCTCTCTCACACGCCAACCCCTCTTCTGAGCCACACCCCCTCCTGCGAACCTACCACCACTCCTACGCTACTCTCTCGACGTTTCACGCTCAACATTACGTTGTCTTTATTTATTGTTTACATATTGTTCTTTATTTATTGCCTAACGTTGTCATGGTCATATCTTTAAAGACGGGTGGCGGATATATCCGCTGCATTTCTACTCATCCGCGGACGAGTAGCGGATATATCCGCATAGTTAAAAACGAGTAAAAAATTATTTTGACAATATGAAGTGTTCCATTGTGTTTATTTTATGGTATTTACTCAGTGGAGGTATAGATGAGGTTACGATGACAGCTGTGGGCTTCTCATTAGCAGAGGGAACACCATTACCGTAACAATACGAATTGTAACCATCGGCCTCGGTGGTCTAGTGGTTAGAGTGCCGGGCTGATATGCTGAGAGACCCGTGTTCGAGTCCCGCTGGTGGCATTAACTTTTTGACTAAGATTTTTTCATTATTAGCAAGTTTGGTTGGTTTGGTTCGGTTATGACAGTTTAATTTTATTATTAAGCCATTATAAAACTTTAATCGAGCAATTTCTAGTTTTATTTAATAAACAGAATTTTTTTTCTATTAATAAACTTTTTTTATATTATTTCATTATCAGCAAGTTTGGTTAGTTCAGTTAGGTTATGATAGTGATTTTATAATAAAAAAATTATAAAATTGAATTTGAGGCATTTATTTTATAATTTTATTTTATGAACAAAAGTAAACCTTCATTGCCAAAATATTCTCTACTAGAGCGCTGTTCGCGGAGGAATTTTGAACTAATGCCTCAATTGTACCTCCCCTAAGTCAGACCCTTATTTTATGTATACTTGTATACAAAAACACAAATAAGTAAAATTAATTTTTATTTTTTCCTCTAATTTTTCCCATCCTATGTCACGATTTCGCCGGTCCGGGAAGGGTTAATCTCTTGAAAATGGTTTGGAGAGAAGTTGGAAAATTGTAATGCTTTGAGGGTAAAAAATGGGAAAACCAATTTTTACCCCATAAAACCCTATTCCCAAGGTCCCATCATGCTGGTTCGCAAACTCATTCAAATTTATCCTGCCTTCAACCTTGAAAAACTTGTTTTTCTGTGTTGTGTCATGTTTTAGCGAATTTCCCTATAGGGAAGTAGCTATTACCGTAGGTGGCACGGTAAGACCTAGACCCGGGACCGATTTACTTTTTCATTTTGATGTCCCCAGAGGCCAAAAACACCATTAGTTCAAATTTTTATATATGTATATATATATATATAGACATAGATATATATATATATATATATACGTCCGTGAACGCGATAACTTGAGTAATTTTTGTCCGATTTTGATGAAATTTGGTTTAAAGGTGTAAAGCGGGATAAACTTGAATGAGTTCGCGAACCAGCACGATCGGACCATGGGAACGGGGCTTTACGGGGGGTTTTATGGGGTAAAAATTGGTTTTTCTCACTTTTGACCCTCAAAACACAAAATTTCCCGATTTCTCTTTAGACCTTTTTAAAGAGCTTAAAAAAACAAATAATTTAGTATATAAAAGTATTTGTCTTCGATTATTAGTAACGGAGAAAATTAAAAAAATTGTAAATTTAAAATTCCCATGTTATTCTTATGGAGAATATTGTCAAATGTTGTAGTTTGCTTGTTTATGGATATATTTTGATCAAACTTGGCAAATTTATTTATTTTGTACTCAGCTATCAATATTTTACTCAAAAACACACTTTATTAGTTTCCTTGTAGCAGCAAACCTAGGTACTCGTTAAACCTAATGTTATTAAAATATATTTAACTGAAAATCAATTCAGACAAGGAAATTCGCTTAGTCGGCAGGTTTGCTGCGGCGGGGGTATTTTATGTTTAATCAAGGCTAATCTGGACTCTATCTACCAGGTAAGCTAGCTGATCCCTATCCTTGTACATAATAATCCTAATTAGAACAAATAGTGTTTTTAGCCTCTGGGACATGAAAATGAAAAAGTAAGTCGATCACAGGCATAGCTTTTACTGTACCACCTATGGTAATAGGTAATAGCTACTTTCCTATAGGGAAATTCGCTAAAACTAGGATGCGTCTTACAATTATAAGAAGTTTTTTTTTAACAAATCCTATTGCTATTTGTCATACCTGAGGATTGAGGTGAACATCTAGACGAGACATTGTATGCTTCACATGACACCTGTTCCTCACTTCCTCAGACACGGGCACCAAGGCTGTAAATTTGTATTTTTTATATTACAGTTGTAAACTCTTGTACTTTGCCTTTAATGAATCAAAATAAGGTTAGTTAAAATCTATCTCCGTACTTATAAAAGTCAAATACCTCTCACTCACTAGATCTAAAAAACTACAAACCATAAAAACTCAGTAATTGGCATGGAGGTTCTAATCAATCTCTAGGTGTGCAATAAGAAGCGTTTTTCATGAAATTCCATCAGGGTTCTGCCCCAGTGGCTTTTAAAGTTCCCATATGAGAAAGTTCTTATGGAGAAAAGATTTTTTTTACATTTGAACACATGAATAACTTACTTTGAATCTGCACTATTAAAATTATTATTTTAACCAGCAAATAGTGTCATAACTTGTTTCAACTACTTTTATTTCCCATCCCCTGCAAAGGAAAGAGGGCCAAAACTGTCTTCATTTCAGAGCCAAATGATCAAATACTAGGAATGTCTAAATATTTATTGGTCTATTGCAATGATAATAACAGCAATACACGTGCAAACATAAACATAGCACAGACACTCCATTATGAAATGCAACAGCTGTCTCGGTTAGCCGGATTTGCGGCGTTGCCACATTTCCCCCACGACCTTGTATTAGACCATGATAATATCAAATGATTTAATAATGTTTGTATTGTTTTCAGAATCAAGTGGAGCCTCGCATACGTGTAGTGAGGTCCCCTTCACATTTCCCTTCTTTATTATAACGAGAGGTCGTCCAGTGGTCGAAACTCAACCAAAAATATGTAATGTAAACTTACTCACTTCTCTATTTTCACCCCACACTGTAAATAAAACATGTGATTGGAGTTTCTTCCATTTGTTTTGATTTTCTGTTTATATTTCGTTGTTATTTCGTCACCAGCATGGCAACGCATAAGATCCATGTTAATTTTTTCCAATTTTTAAACTAATTTTTTGTGCTTATCTTTGAGCCTATTTAAATTTATAAAGGGATTCTGCACACCTACAGGAAAATAGCTTTCTAACGGTATGCGTAGATTTACCCCACGATGCACACGAGCTGAGAAAAAAGGTTTTAAAGAAACATGCTTGCCTATTAATATATAGACGAGAGGTCGTCCAGTGGTCGAAACTCGACCAAAAATATGTAATGTACTCACTTATCTATTTTCACCCCACACTGTAAATAAAACATGTGATTGGAGTTTCTTCCATTTGTTTTGATTTTCTGTTTATATTTCGTTGTTATTTCGTAACCAGCATAGCAACGCATAAGATCCATGTTAATTTTTTCAAATTTTTAAACTCATTTTTTGTGCTTATCTTTGAGCCTATTTAAATTTATAAAGGGATTCTGCACACCTACAGGAAAATAGCTTTCCAACGGTATGCGTAGATTTTCCCTACGATGCACACGAGCTGAGAAAAAAGGTTTTAAAGAAACATGCTTGCCTATTAATATATAGATAGATAGATAGCTCAATGGCTTCAAACAGTCTACACTTCAGTATGGTATGGGAACAGCTGATTATATTTTATTGGGTGAAATTATAATATTTACATTATTTTTGTGGCTTGAAATAGTTATTTGTGTAACTAGTGGGCGAAGTGGCACTTTGCTGCACATGAGAGAAATGTTTACGTATGAGCCGTAGGCGAGTGTGGACATTTTCTCGAGCAAAGGCAGTTTGCACTTGTGTTACACATTGTATTTTTCCTACAGTTACTATAAATCATATAAATAATTAGTCTTTCAAACACTGTACATGTTTTTAGGTTAGGTTAAATCCAAACATTGAACAAAATGGGAATCACTGCACCAGCTGATCGTATTCGTAATATCTTTAAGTGTTGTCAACTTATTTTCAAGCGGACACGGAAGGCTTTCTGTACTATAATCTGTGCAAGGAAGCCTACTTTGTCACGTGACTGTTGGAAAACGTGTTCACTGCATAACACATTTTTAATAGTTAAATGAACGAAATAATCAAGGTGTGTTTTTGTCTCTACTCTATTTTGTTGGAGATTTTAAGATCTTTGTGTTATTGATAATTTAATAACAGTATATTATTTAACGTGTTTGGAATGTCAATTTCAAAGGAGCAATTATTGGTTAACGAGTTTAACCTTTTATTTGAAGGGGTGGAACCTGCCTTCTCCTATCACTTAATTACTATAATTATCTTGTTGGCCTATCAGATCTTTATTTTTTTAATTGAAATTTTCGTGAGCGAAGCCACGACGGATTTGCTAGTTTGATTTAATGTAATCCAACCTCACTGAGTTATGAAACTAGGCGTCTTAACACTCATAGCAAGAAATATTTAACCGGAATATTTGAACAGAAGGTGCTGTTGCTATAAGGCGCTCATTAACCATTATAGTGGTCTTTGAAGTAGAACCGTGTCACATTACTTTGGCGTGCTGACGTTTCAAAGCAATATTGAAGCACCACTACCGCAGTCCACTACAATTATATAATCTTCCGAACTTAATCCATGCTCTGTACTATTGTGGCCATTGCCGGTAGCATTGCTTCTATACTGCTCTGACTAACCATATGAAAGCAACAAAGCCGAAACTTCATCAAGTGTCTTGATCTTGTCTTGAATTCTGAAGAGACCAATTAATCCTCCCTCATTGTATATTATGAATCAGAATATAAAAGTCTGCTGTAGCAATATTAGTGACTTACCGGCGAGGTATGCCACACTCTCCGGTGTCACCTCAAACTTGTCCCTCTTGTGAGGCCTAGCCACAATAGCCAGGAGAGAAGTTAGTATACGAGATGTGCGAGACACAGTGGTGGGGGTGGGGTGACGGAACCCCTTCAACAGATGACCAACCAGGGCAAAGTGGAAGTTGGCTGTAACATAACATAACATATTGCAACTTAAAATCATCATTAGGTTGAGGACAAAAGTCAGCTAATCAAAGTGTATATTATGATTTATTTACCTTAACTGTTGTCCCAGTCCAAATCTAGTTAGCTGTCATGAATACTGAATGCTCTCCAGCTGACTCCCGCGACAGTAAAAAATTAAACAATACAGTCCTGTTTATCTCCACCAGAACTTTACAACACAATTTATGTATACAATATGCTTTTCTGTGTGTGTCTTAACAGAACCCCCTTGACGACATCCAAACAACTGACTTCTGTTGAAATTTGATGTTCTTGAAAAAGCCCTCTCTGTGATCATGACCGCAACCAGCGTCGAAACCTTGATTATTTACAATTACAAACAACTAGATTTGGACAGGGACGAATATATTTGTCTTACATGTTCAGGGGAAAGCCCCAACAATGAGCAAGGTTTATCATTCATAGTATGATAATTGTGCTATTAACAATCTCTTGGATTGTTACTTATTTCTAATCAACAATATAATGCATGGTATGTTTTGAGACTTTAGTATATCAAAATAATTTACAACTATATGTTATTTATATTAATATTAACTTCAAAGGCACATTTTTTATGTAACAAACTATGGAATGTAATCCTACAGAAGTAAGCTATGCTGGAGATATTTTGCATTTCTTTAGACATCAAAAGAAATACTAGACACAAGACTATGGTTAAATAGTGTACCTTTAAAACTGAGCCCCACAGCGTGATCCAGCTGTTTGAAATGCCACTCAAGAGGTTCTCGTGTGGACATCATCACTTGGGCTAGAGGCTATGAACAAATCAACAGTTAACTAACAAATTGTTAATCCTATTATTGAGGGTAGGTGATTGTCAATTAACCATAGCAATTATTTACACTTGAAATTGATTTTATGTTTTTAAATATTATTTATCTTGAACTAAACAAAAAAATCACAAATAAATATTTACCAGTTTCATTTTACAGTAACAATTTAATCACAGGCACAAACTCTCTAAACAGTAGAGTAGAAGAAAGGAAAGCCCTGTGTGATAGATTATCAGTAAAGGTGTGCGAGGATGAGATTTTTAATGAAGCTGAGCCTTTGGTAAAAAACTGAAATCTGATGAATGCTATTTGATGTTCTTGTTATGATGTAGAGTTAAATATATTTAAGTACAAAAATTATTACGCATTGGAATAGCAAGAAACCTTAGGGCTTAAGATAATTCCAATAGTCTAACAAAGGTGTTTGACACTTTGAGAGCAATATTACCCAGAGCAGCTACATACCTTGTCCTCAAACAGGCCCTGAGAGTCTAGTGTGTGGAGATTCTGTTCCAGCAGAGCAAGCCCAGCTCTGTACAGGTCAAGCTGGTCCAGCTGCAGCACAGAGATGGCAACCCAGAACAATGCCTTGTGTATGGGTGACTCCTGCAACCACCACCAGTCAACAGTGAACCATCGGTGCACACAAACAATAGAAAATTGCTAGCAAATCAAATCGCTTATGTATAAAACATTTCGGTTTGAGTAGACATTTCGACATTTGCTATCAAAAAGCACTTGACACTAAAACTAGATGGGCAAAACCCCTTCATTATTTTAACATTTTCCATATTACCTAAGGGCTATCCAGAATGTAACAAATGTTTTCTCAGAATGTTTTGAAGTAAAAAATAAACAAAACAAACAAAAGGATAAAAAGATAAACTTTTTACAATATAAATATCATAGGTACGCAATTCTGAAAATTTTTCACGATCAAAATTTAAATTAGGGAATTAATGATTTGATCAAAGTTTTAATTTTTCAATTAGCTATTTGAAAAATCTGTGATATTAGATTTCAAGCATTGGTTTACACTGACATGGCGTTCAACATCAGTGTCAAGGTGTTGCGTAGCAAGCAATGTCTTCATTAATTGATCAGATTATGGTTAACTTTAAATCCAGGATGTTCGGTGAATGATTGGAAAGTTGCCACCCACAACAATCCAAGACCTCCTGGGTTTGTTTGTTACCTGTGGACCGGCATTTATTCCACATGGTTTTCTTGGGGGAAATCATGTGATATCATTCTTAGTCTTTGCCATTTGAGGTTTACATCAGACTTTTTGCACCCACCTAGCTTCTGTTATTTTCTGGATATTTCTTGTATATAATAGCGATAACACTTATGAATGCTATGATAGTTATACTGCTGTAACTCACCGGCCGCAGCAGAGGTTGGAGACGAGTCAGACACATGATAATGGCCTCTAGCTGCATCATGTCATTGAAGCTCTCCAGTGCCTTCACCAGGATACGCAGCAGCTGCTTTATGTCTTGGTCCGTGATTGTTTTTGCTAATGAAAACAATCTGTATTATCAAATAGTAGCTTACTGTGATTCGCTTTTTACTCTCTCCCAACGTATAGAGAAAACAATTATTGTCAAAAATTTCAGGATGACAGTTGTGGTGGAAATTTTGTTTCGTTCCATGAAGAAGGGTCCAAATAGAGGTTTCTGGAATGTGTCTCTCTGTGTGTATGGATTTGTTTCAGATAGAGACAGCGAACACTAATCGGTCAATTGTGTTAACTGTGTTCAGTAAACAGTAGCTAATATGTCACTTTGAGATTCATCATCAGTGCACATTTTTCCGTTTACAGTAGACTTCCTCCTATCCGGACTGGCCTCGGTCCCGAGGAGTTTAACACGGTTTTCCAGTTAAACAGACGTCCCCAAAGACTCATTAAAATGGACCGTTGAAATGCATACTGTATACAGTAGTTGACTTAAATTTAGGAGAGCATTGTATTTAGACACGTGATCACTGGTCTCAAATCTTTCCCACGAGAACAGTCGTTTCAGTACCGCCCACTTCCTGCCGATCTAGTCCGGTTAAACCGATGTCCGGTTAAAAGGTGTCCGGATAAGAGGGAGTCTACTGTTATGTTGTACTTAAGTACTTAAGTTTTATTAGGCCTACATAACTTTTAAATAATTTCAGTGACATAACTTACAGATGCAACCAAAGACAATGAGCGCCCTTGGCTGAAGAGCTGGATTGAAGCAGAAAGCTATGCACTTGGATAGCGAGGTCCAGGTTTGGAGCCAGTCACAATCATTGATGTCACGCATACAGGCCTGTTAACATTTAACATAAATGTGTGACACCGAAACAGAAAAAACTAATACCATACTAAGAACAGACTGAAATTGCTAATATAAACTATTTAGAATAAATAAGGTACAGAACAAACCTCCATTATTTCTAGAAGTGCATCTGTAATTACTTCAAGGGATGTTAGGGACAACCTCTCTCTGTCTGAAGATGTTCCAGTTAAATACCTCTCAGTGCCAAGTCTGAAAATAAAACAAATTACACAAATTAATACACAAAATACTATTCTTTTACATCCTTTGAGAAATTTTGGTGCTGTACATATAATTTTACTACGACAAATTATCATAAAAAATAAGACTAACACAAATAAACTAGACTCTACATCGTACAGGGTTTCATGTAACCGTTTACTGGATATGGTGTGTGATTTGAGTTCTAAGCACTGTCTTAAATAGGTAATGTACGTTTCTAACAACACAAATAAGCAATAAGTAACAAAATAAAATTTTATAATCTAAACTCTCATAATTAGAGTATTTATCTTGGTCATATCAGAGCTAAATACTTTCGAGTATCGACTTGAGTTCAGGCTTAAGATTAAGATTTCCTATGCTGATTATTTATTATTGCTCAGATATAACTATGCAATCTAGAGATTTCACTTAATTATCTTGTTACTCTAACACTTTGGCCCTCAAAAAAGGATGACAATGAATTTGTCAAGTTTCTAACATTTGTGAAGGTATAACAGGAAGCTATTATACTATAAATATTTGAGTTTAAACATCAAAGAAAGCTATTTTATAAGTATGCCATCAATGAACTATTTTATGAATACTTAAACATAATCTTCAGTTACAAAAAAAAAAAAAAAAAACTAACCTTGAATCATTAGGATTACGATAGCTAGAGCGAAAAGCCGTGACTGCAGCAGATTTGACTTTGCTGATACCAAACAGTAAGTAGAACTTGGGCAGAGAAAACTCGTCCAAGCTGAGTCGGAGAACTCTCTGTGCCTCCTCTGAAACAGGATTTGCAGACTAAGTAACTTAAGTTTTGAATTGTAGCCATATTACATTTTTCATGAAATAAAGAAAACTGTTCTGCTAGTGGTTTTTGGCACTTTGTACACTTTCTGTTTAGATTAGTGTAGAATAACCTTATTTATAATGTTTACCTGCATAAATGTAAAAATGATAAAACTTGACTAGTCCTTCCACTTAAAAACGGTTTATTTTAAAATTAGGGATGTGTCGATTCTCAATAACACCGATTTTGGACATTGGTATTGGTATCTTAATTGATCGTCAAAAGGATGCTGATCCCAAAACCCAACATAGCGATACAGCAACCTAATACTTGGGTTGGGTCGAGCCAAGAAGGCGTGATCAAAGAAAGTGACGACTTTGCAAGAATCCAGAAGACTGGAAGGCATTCTTGATTTCCACATGACTGCAGAAGATGTTCAAGATTTCACTGTGACCTTGGAAGATATTCATGATTGCACTGTTACCGCCGAAGGCGTTCAAGATTTAATCGTAACTGTGGAAGATGATCATGATTATGATGCCATTATTGCAGATGATGTTCATAAATGCACCGTGACCGCAGAAATTTGCAATTTTGACGCGAACAAGGAAGACGTTCACGATTATGACATGACCGTGACAAATTTTTACGCTTTCCCCGAGACCGCAAACGATTTTTTTACTCTCTTGTGTTCTTGGAAGATGTTCACGATTAAACGGTTTACAAGTATAAAACGGCATGATGGTATTGTTTGTGAACATAGAAACAGTTTAAACCTTTAATCCAACAGTCAATGGGTTGTCAGTTATATCATGCCACCAATGGTATTGGTAACGAGAATCAATATTTCAGGTATTGGTGTCAGAATCGAGAATCGATAGTTTTTTGCATTGATATTGACACACTTAATTTTAATATTTTTCAAATAGTTTAAATGTATTATTCATTGTGACCCTCGGTTGGAATATACTAACCACAGTTGTTGGATAAGTTAATCCTTTTATTTTATCATGTTTTAAATGTGTAAACTAAACATTAACTTATCTGGTATTTCAATACTATTATCTAAAATCCAAAGGGTCTTTTGTCGACAAATTTATCTGATACTCTACTATTAAATGGATTGTGAAAATTTGCAACACAGATTCAATGATCAAAGATGCCTATCACTTTGAAAAATTTTGGAATTACTGAGTTAGAGCTTTACTACAGGGGCTATCATCATTTCCATCAAATCCTTATTGGAGAGTAAAATAAATAAATCTTACTTTATGCATTCAAAATAAAATTATCAAACCTTAACTTATTGATTAAATAACTTATAATTACACACAAAAGGTAAATGTTTAACACGTTCGCTGCGGCCCACCAAACGACAAACATAGCCCCGGTGCCGCACAGCGTCGAGCGAATCCATTCTGCTTTCAAATATTTTGGTCTGTCGAATAGTAAATGGCGTGCGGTGATGTGCAAGTGTTACGACAAGAGTTAACGTAGTTTGCTAAAACACTCATAGATAGCAGCACTGCCTGGAACTAGCCGGTCCCATCGTATTGCCAATTCGAGAAAGACGGGTCAACAAGTTGATTTCTAAGTTTGCCAGAAGGGGATTTTACGGGGAAATTTACTACCAACCTACACTAAATAAAGCACCCATTCCTAGCTAATCATAGACATAAAAATTCCTGCTCTTGCCGGTATGCCGCTGCGCAGAAATTGAATGGAAAGTAGGCGATGCCGGCACTCACCGGTGAGCGTTCGGCATTGGCAGAAAGGAACTAGAGCACTCACCGGTGAGTGGCCCGCAGCGAACGTGTTAAGGTCTAAATGATTAATAGATTGTTTCATAGCACAAGTCTATTTCAAATCTCTTCTTAGATATTGTACCTGAGAACTGAGGCATGGTACAGGTGCAGAGGGAGTGTATGATGTTGATGACCAGTCCGTGTGTGCTGGCACGCATGCTGAGAGACCCAGAGCACACCAGCAGTGTGACTGCGTGGAACAAGTACGGCAGATGACGGGCCACGTCTAGACAGTTGTTGAAGGACAACATGAGCAGGTAGCGAGCCAGGATGGCGATGTCGTCCCACAACATGTGCTGCTCTAGAGAGGGAGTGGGCGAGGTACACGTCTTGTCCAGAACCTAGTCACACAAACATTCATACAACAATATACAATTTTGTTTACACATTTTCACTTATCAGGGGGCCACAGAATTACTGGGGGAATGTTATTAGAACTACGCAGTCAATGTTCACGATTTTGTCGTGACCACAGAAGATTTTCTTGATTTTGCTGTGACCTCGGAAGATGTTTGATTTCACCGTGTACACAGAAGACAGTCTCAATTTAGTGGACAGTAACGATTTGACAGTGACCTCAGATTAAAATCAGGTTTTCACTATGAAATTAGAAAATTCCTAGGTTTCCCAGAATTCACGGTCTGTGGCACAATGACAAATCCACTGTGAGTCTTAGTTCAACAATAACCACTAACTCCCATAGATTCTTAAGCCTAGAGTTCAACAATTTACGCAATATTTTCCAATTAGTCCATGGCAAATAACTCAAGGGGATGGAAAAACCCCTTGAGAGCATTGTTTGTAAAAATTAAAATAATCAATGTTGTTAATTTATACACCATGTTAGTAATACATATTGAAATGAACATATAAGAACAAAAATATATTACCAGAACACCAAAGGGAACATGAGACTTGATATCCCAATGCACAGATTAGCCAAAACTAAATCAACTAATAAAATAAATATGAATGCTAAAACTACACATGTTAATGTTTAAAATAGAAAATCCCTAATTAACTCGTTAAATATCCATTTTATTGAATGAGTTTTCAGATTTCCTTGTGATATTAGATTTGAAGTTAGAATCGGCCAAGACCTATTCTATTGTTAATATTGTTAGGATTAATGATTGTTATCTTACTAGAGTTTTCTGGTTTCTGGTTATATGACAAAGCCTATCTCGTTGTAGGCCTATTATTACGGGTGGCGTCGTCCTGTAATCCAGCTACTAGGAGGTCACGAATTGTGGATAATTATAGGGATGCACTGTGGATGCGATGCTACCTGGTGTGGATTAACGTCCGCACTAGTGAGTACTACGACTATCCGCAGTACTATCGTAATAATTAGACCAATTCGTTAATTACGAGGAAAAAATGTGGTTCGGATTCCACAATAAACTGTAGGTCCCTTAGTTGCCATTAGCTGTATGGGCTATTAATTAACAGCTGTGTCTAAGGAACATGTCGGCCTTAGTCACTAACAAGACTACAAGATCGCGCCACTCATCCTACACTCATCCTTCACTCATATTTGGGTTAAAATACGTACATATTGGCGTCCCCATCTTAAATAATTGATAATTGATAATTATGATCAATCATCAATAGAAATTTCTGATTTCTATGCCTTATGTACATTTAAAAAGAATAACATCTTAATAATATAACAGAAAGAGTAATATATTAGGCTACTGTGTTTATTTTATTTATTTCGATATTTTTATCAGAATACCCATCAAGTAATATAAGACATACCCTGCATAGTCGGCCAATAATTTTCTTGGCCACCAGTTGGACGTTGGCTGAGGCCAGAGCCACTGCAGTATCGGCCAGTATCTCTACCACATTACTGCCCACTCCTGCTTCTCCCGACCTCTTGATAAAGCTGTCCAGCACCATGTCTATCAGTTCTGGAACCTACATCACACAACTACTATAGTTCTTAGCACTAATCAATTCATTCAATTACCTTGTTAATCACTTAAGAGTTGTCCAATCTATTTTACAAATTTTTGAAAAGTCAACAAATGAAAAGATTTGTTGTTACAGAAGATTAAAACGAATAAGTTGCATTACCTGTCCGAGGGATCCCCAAATCTTTGCCTGGATTGAGGGATACATTTGTTCCTCTTGAATGGTTAGTAAAATGAGTTTTTCTAAAATCTGTGCAACTTTTTGCTGTCGTTTACTTTCATCTGATGGCTTACAGAACCTGAAAAAATATTTCATAGTTCGTAGAGTCGATTGACCATTTTGTTTTTGCTATCACCACATTTCCAAAACTAACAAAATGTAAACTACAAGTCAATAAACAGATTACGGTATAAAAATTCAACTATAATCTATTACTTGAATGAGTTTAACAACAATGATGATGTAGTTCAATGTTTGTTTATCAGCAGTAGGCCTATACATATGACTAGTTTGTTAGTTCTAGAAAACTACCAGGTTACATTTATAACCCCAAAAAATATCAGGTCTTCTGGAAGAACATAGCTGATTGTATAGTAAACTTTGCTTGATTTCTTATTAAATATTTTAAAATACAGTAAGTAGGAGGAACCCTGTTCATACCTGACTAGATTTGCCAACCACGGAGTCATATATTCTAGACATAAATGTTTTAGTTCAATCGTTGACACTCGGAAACCTTGAATGCATTCCTCAAGAAACTCAAGTGTGAGGTGAGGTTCATTTGTGGCCAGCTTCTCACTCACAGATTTGATGAATATTGTGTTGTTGGAAGGAATGCATAACCCTGCAAGAAACAAATATAAGCATGATAAAATATCCTACTTAATAATGACCTCATAGCTCATGTCAAACTTGTAGGGTTGAAATTTCATTTAAAGCAATATGTTAAATGACACCCTCACAACTGTTTCACAAAAAGTGGTAAGATAGCTTCCTTATGAGCCAAGATTTATTATGTTATAATTATCAAGAAATAAACATTCTCCAACAACGCATTTAGCCGAGATTTTATGGTAAAGAATCTTTATGCAAAGTTTCTAGTTGATATATTTTGTCATTTTCGAGTTATTGTTAGAACATGAAAATGCACTGTGTACCAGAATCAGGATTCATTTTGTTCATTCAATTGATAAATCCTGTTTATATGTTTTACTAATCTAACATAAATACTCACCAGACGTTTCTAAAAGTTGTCCTTCAATTTTGAGGTCAAAGGTGGCTGTCAAAGCACAAAGCTGGTTGTAAGCTGCTGTCCTCAAGTTGGGATCTGAAGATCCAAGATTTAACAGTGCCATGTTGAGCAGAGTTCCTGGTACATCTTTCGGTCTTATCTTTTGGTGGACTGTAACTGAATCCTAAAAATACAAAGCCATAAATTAATATAAGGATTATATAATAATATACTTAAAAATATAAACAACCACTTGGTAAAATGTGATATGTACACTATGTTTGCCTAGCATAATTCTCACCTCATGTATGTGCTCCGTTTCTGACAGCACAAAATAGCTGTAGTTAATTATACTACAACAGTTTGTTTAAACAAACAACAGGAAACTTAAACCAAGTTGGTCAGTCGGTAGCGTCGCGGACTTCGGGCCCAAGGCAGTAGTGTCGTGGGTTCGGATCCAGGTCACTGCCACTAACTTTTATCAGTACAGTTCACCTTTGTACTGTACCGGCTCACCCCTTGCTTTGCTGGATACGTTCCACACACAGATCTGTAGTCTATGTGGACGGGCAAATGCAAGGTTAAAAGAGGCCGCCAACCTCTTTTAAAAAAAAAAAAAACCTCTATTTGTTAATATTTTATCCAGCTACTTTTCTAGATTACAACTATTTAATGCATATTCTTGATTTGTTTTATGTATAATGAAATTATCAATTCTAGCCACACAAGATATAACAGGTTTGACAATATTTACTAACCGGCTGCGAGAGTTCCCAGCGGTTACGGATGTGTATGATAGCCTGTACGATGGTGTCGCAGTCATTGTGTATGAAGGACAGCGGCCCCGCCTCGTTTGCGATGGTGAGTGTGAACTGGTTGTCGTCCACGAGACACACCTCCTCAATCTCTGATGCATAGTAGACGTCGTTCAGCAGTACAGAGTGTGACAACACCTTGGTCTTCTCTGAAGATGTGATCTGTATGGCCGTGGGGCCCACCTGTGATAAAACAATACATGTCAATATTACTTCAACTATCAGCTGTAAATTCATGGCGATATTTGCTACAAGTTAAGTCCTTAACCACAAATAATTTATAATTGTATACAGGGTTGAAAAAAATCCCGGGACAGTTAAGTATTTCAAAAAATAATCAAAATAGAGCCACAAAATTTGGAACAAAGTTACTGGGCAAATAATTTTATTACATTATTCAATGATACGTTACTCCCTCAGAGGGATGGCTTGCTAGGAGTCAGACAAAAATAATAAAGGTAAGCATAGGTTGATATCTACATTAGTGATGTGTCTTAACCGAACACTGCAAAGGTCAAAACCGAAGCATTGCAAATTCAATAAATCTTTGAACATCTGTAATTTTAGCTTCGGCTGTCTGTTTGAGTTTGGGTTGCGGCATAGTATTTTACTAACAGAGACCTTTAATGTGATGTGCATAACAACGTATGCTTACAATTAAGATTTTCTTCTGACTCCTAGCGGGTCGTCCCCCTGAGGAGGTAGCGTATCATTGAATAGTGTGCTAAATGGATGTTATTGCCCAGTAACTGTGTACCAAGTTTTGAGGCTCTATCTTTATATATATTTATTTTATATTTAACTGCCTCGGCACATTTCCCCACCCTGTATGATACAAATGTTTCAACTATTAGTATAACCTAACCATACAAGTAAGCTAAATATTGTAGTTTTATTTACCTTGATCGCCACTTTTGTATCCTTGTGAGACAGTTTCAGAGCATTGTTGAACACTTTCAAATCCTCGTCCAGTGATAAAGTTGCTCCGGGCAGTTTTTGTTGGTCTGGTTCAATGAAGTCATTCAGACGAGCCGGAGCATCAATGAATATCAACGTGCGATTTCCCTTTAAAAAGAAAAATACATTGAAAAGAGGAGCCCAATAAAACAATAATTCTAGTCTGATTCTAGGATAAAAATTTGAATCAATAAAAAGAGCAACATGCCCAGTAGCAGGTACCCTCCTGTGAATGTGACATAACAAAGCTATAAATAATATTCATCTCTAGGAATTGCAAATAAAAACCAAAGGTTAAGAATAGTTAAAAAGGACAAATTTTGAAAACTTGTAATACAGTACATAGATTTAGGTGATAATAATAAAAGTACCTTAATATCATAAGTGCCATAAAATAATATATAGCTATTAAAATTGCAAATGGTAGTTAAATCAGTTTGCTTGAAACATTCTAAGCACTGGTTTGTGCCCTACTTGCTCTACTTAATGTGAGGTTAAATATCTTACTGACTTTAAATAGCAGATTCTTGGTTAATCAGATTAAGTACAGATTAAGTAAAGAATTCAGAATACAAAAATAAACTTGAATTTTGAGCACAACCGGCAATTAACACAGATGATATCAGATCGTGGATGTTCAATGGTACCTTAAGAGGAGCAAGCATTCTGTCGTGGAACTTGGTGTACTCTCGAACCCAAGAGTTGCAGTTGTATACATACGCAGCATGGATGTTCTCGTACGCCACCTCTGGTAGTACGTAAAACCACTTTTGAAGAAACTCAGTCCTGTAGAAAAACATAATTTATTTTTACTTAATCCAATAAACATTGTCACAACAATATTTGGAGGAATTATTTTCTTTTTTTAGTTTAGAATGTCGAAAAAATATATGGGTTGAATATACAGTTAAATAAATGAGAAATACATTTTAGACATGTAAACAAGATTTAAAAATCATCCTGTCAGGATGTTTTTTTTTTCCTAGGACGCTAGGCATGAGCCCGGGATTGTTTTTCACATTACTTCAGGCTAGACCGGTGGGTTGCGGCATTATAATTTGGATCAAATCGATTGGTGATTATGTCGCGGTGTTAACAGATCTGTAAATTTAAAAAATAGGCAATTCATCAAACTAACTTGAATTGGATATTCTTAGTGTTGTTATTTTAATCTTGTCCAATTTTTACAAATAATATTATTTTTTTATTTTATTACCTAGTAAATTATTGACAATGTTAGAAAAGAAGCTCGAAAGAGGTTAAGCAGCAGAGGCAAATGGTAGTGGAGGAATTGTTACAACAATTTAGATACATGCACTTGGTAATACACTTTAAATTTCACAACTCATGTATGTACACAAATATTCTCTTGCAATAAATACAGCCTAAGTATAACCAGATAAATTTGTAAAAATGGGGAAGTGTTAAAAAGATTCCAACATATGCTATGTTATGCGTTATTTAAGAGGTGTTATGTGAATTATCTGCCACCCGAAATTGGGGTTAAAGGAAATACACCCACAAATTTATCTCTGAAAAATTCAAATATTACTAAAAGGTTAAGACACTACACCAACATGCATCAGAGAGATCCTTATTATTAGGTAATATAAAGGGAGACATTATGCTATGTAAATTACAACGTCATTTTAGCTGATAAGTTAGTTTCATACTGGTTACACTACTGGATCAAGTAGCCAGTCATATTTCTCTTCATCTTAAAACATGCATTAAGGCTTTAATTTTAGAACAATTTTTGACTTGGAAGGAAAGTTTCAACCAATCGGTGTTATAAGAATATATTTTAGTTTACAAGATATTTATCATGAAACGATAGTCCATACTCTTCTCCTAACCTTAAAAAATACATGTCCATTATTATTTACTTTCTTAAAACAAAACCAACAAAATACAGACTGAAAAAGGTGTATAGAGTAGTATAAATGCACCGAGTTTTGTTTAAGGCTAAACTGTAATTAGTTATGCTATTGTATTTTTTTTAAATGCATTATTAAAAGGTAATTATGTAACTAATGGGTCTTGGTCTTGTTCAATAAGGGATGACCACCTTGTGGTAAATAGTGGTGGTATGACAGGCAAAGCTCTCTCAAATTACTTAATGCTTTTTACCATGCGGTTGGCATTCTGGGTTATAGTAGTATGTTTTCTGTGGTTCCAGGGATGTGCTACTGTTAAAATAATATCTTCTCTCTTTGTTTTTGATACTTTGATAACTTTTTTGTCATAAATTATGTTATAAATGACATTGAGTTGTCCTTTTAGTTTAACCTGTATATACAAAGTAACATTAATTGTCACTATTGACAGCAGTAAATCTATCTGCACGACTCAGTTTAACTACATTCATTTTCATTCAAAATCTGGCTACAACTAGGGAATGGAATGTCTATTGCTCTCCATAGTGAAATCTTTTTACTTTCTAGATTATCAAAGTTTAGTGTTGAGATAGGCATGGATATTAGCACTCATACAGGAGGAGTTAACTCATTATAATGTGGGATAGTGTTCAAACATTTGAATTATATTTCAATTGTTAACTTATTAGTTCAGAATTATACATTTCAAAAACACAAGCATAGCAATTGATGTTGCTGTTGAAATATATAGATATAAAATATTGCTAATGCATGCTTTTAGACTCTTTTTACTATTCTAAACTTTATTTCTGTTTCTTTTCTTGCAGAAAATAACGCAATTAAACTCTTTAAATCCCGACTACAATTAATTGTCCAGTTTTTACCGTAGATGTTTGACGTTAATACAATAGGCCTACTTTTTTCTTTCGTTTTACCATGCCCAGTTCCAAAAATACATTTTAAAATAAGCAAATATCTATCTATATATTAATAGGCAAGCATGTTTCTTTAAAACCTTTTTTCTCAGCTCGTGTGCATCGTAGGGAAAATCTACGCATACTGTTAGAAAGCTATTTTCCTTTAGGTGTGCAGAATCCCTTTATAAATTAAAATAGGCTCAAAAATAAGCACAAAAAATGAATTTAAAATTTTGAAAAATTTAACATGGATATTATGAGTTGCCATGCTGGCGACGAAATAACAACGAAATATAAACAGAAAATCAAAACAAATGGAAGAAACTCCAATCACATGTTCTATTCAAAGTGTGGAATGAAAATAAAGAAGTCTGTACATTAAATATTTTTGGTCGAGTTTCGACCACTGGACGACCTCTAGTGTTATTATAATGTTAACCCTTATAGCCCAGTAAATAAATATTTTTATCGTAACCAAATGATGGAATGCTGGATTTGTCCCCACTTCTACCGGTTGAGCTTTCCCCCCACCCCCCTCCAAACCTAGAAAATGTAGTGTTTCACTTAACTGATCGTCAGTCGCATACTATGTATACTATCGTGTTGAAATTTGTTTTATTTTATTTCTGATTAGTTTTCCTACAACAATAGAAGTAATACGCAAATATGGTTCAAACAATAGTATATTTTTCAAGAACTTCACTAGCCTACTTGTAGAATTAGGGAGAAATCTAGCTTTCCACCATTTAGCTGTGAAGAAGGGTGTTTTATTGCTTTCATTGACTCATTTGCTTTCATAAACCAGTCGTCAAAAGAGCTAGATGGATATAGTATAGAGAATACTACATCCGACTTTAGTACAATTTAATTGTCAACACATAATTAAATACTTTTGAATTTCACCTTTCTTCATCATAGAAGAAAGTATGTCATTAAATACTTGTTGTTATAACCTCTAAGGGAAGTCTTACCTTTGCCTCTGCTGAACAGCCAATGTATACTAAATTAATTGTTCTCGAGCTCAACAACCAAATAGCCAAATAGATTAGAATTTGAGTCAAAATAAACTCTTCTTTTACCAAGTATCATTTGACCGATGTTTATAATCTTGGCAACATTAACATCAACCTTTAACAGAAACAGTTTAGAGAAGGGTCGGGAATTTGTAATAAATACTGTATTACTTACAACTATGTAATATTTATGTATACAGAGTCAAACATTTATTTATCGGCGGAAATATTTGCAGTCCAATCTTTTCCTTACCTCCACCCTCCCAATAATCCTACACTGCCCACGCTAGGCCTAAGTGCCAGCTTATATGTCAACAGCTGTAGGGCTGGTTTGTGTTACCAATTGACAGATAGGATCCTAATATTTGAAGATAAAAAAGGATAATCTTGTCCTATATTTTATCTACATTAAATATGACTCTTATTTTTTTCAAACAGTTTTTATAGTACAGTACCACCATTTTTAATTAAAGCTAGGTTAAACACTATTAAGAGGGAATGGTCCTAAATAATGTTGATGGGACATACTAAATTTGGAAATGCTACTAACTAAGCCAAAAACATAAAAACTGCAGTTTTCAGTATTTGAACAACTGCATAAAACCCATATACAAAATTATTCTAATCAGAGGAGTAAAGAGTCCATTGCAGTAAAATAGGCATGATCACACCCAGGAACACTGATGGAATCTTACCTGTTTTGTGACCTAAGCAAGCTGAAAAATGCACCAAAGAACTAAAAGTTGAGGGTAAATAAAAGAGGGGGTTTTATAATTTTGGTGCAATTTGACAGTTGCTTTTTGCTCAGTTAGTTTGGTAAAACATTGAAAATTGTAATGCAAAGCGAACTAACACTTAATAATTTGATGGGGGAAAAATACCTGTTACATACGCCTTTTTATTGGTTCGGTTTTTGTCTTATCAATTGTTGTGTTTCAGTTGTTATTTTGGTTGTTTTACTTATAACTTATTTGAAATGTCTGCAATAATCCTCAAATTAACAAAAAGGTTGTTACATTAATTCCTGAACACTCATCATGTTTGTTTTAACGCATGCATGAACACCAATTGAAAAACAGTAGTTGGGATTTGGTATCCTTAAATATTGGTGTAATGTACATTTATCATAATTCAGAGAGGTCCCAATTAATTTCAAATCAGGCCGAGATTTCCCAATTAATTTCTAGAAAAGATTATATACGTTTGCAATTGACAAATAATAAATAATTATTTTGCTTATTTTAGCTATTTTTCATGAATTTTTAACTTTGATCACAATAAACAATAAAAATAATTTCATCCTCGTTTTAATGTTGTGTTTACTATACACAGTTGCCGATGGACAGTGATAAAATGCTGCCGCAATAGCACGAACAATTGTAACATAAAATTCTGGTGCTTAGAACGTCATCATGTACCGCCTCTGCGTACCACAGGTTCGGAAACACTGGCGTAGACATCATGATTGTCTCCCACGATCACGGAAAAATCTTGAAGGTCACCACGATTGCGAAGATGTCCTCATTGTCGCCCGCGATCACTGGGAAATCTCTAACTTCTCCTATGACATCATAACAAATAACTCATCTGGTGGAGACACCCTCATCATATCCCTCGATAGTGTAAAAATTAATGGCATCTCCACGGATCATTAACTCATTATCATCATCACTCCCGATCTAAGAACAATTTGGAATATCTACTGTGGTTTTATAAATATCATCATTTCGCGATGGCATAAAAATTCTGAAATTCCCTACGGTCATGTAGAAATCAATGTCTTCTGTAGTCTCGGCATAATCCTGAATACCTACCATGGTAAAGTGAACATTATCATTGTTTTCTGCAGCCATGGGAAAATGCTGAATATCTACCACGGTCATATGGATATCCTCATTGTCTTACGTGTATGGTAAATCGTCAATATCCCCCACTATCTTGTTTACATTAACATCGTCTTTTGCGATTATGAAAATGTAATCCCCCCCCCCCCCGCAATCATAGGGAAAGCATGCATTTTTTGCAAAGACATCATCATAGTCGTCCACAATTGCCGAAAAATACTCCATTCCCTACAATCGCAAAGATGTTGTAATCGTGTCGAAAGTATTAAATAATTAACCAAAACCGACATTTTCCTTTAATTTTCTTAGTTTTGGTTTTTTTTTCTCGAAACTAGCAAAACCAACAACTGACTTAAAATCAAACCGACCTAACCCTTATAATAAGTAATAATTATATTTATTTACAAAAATTGTTTCAAAAGGATTGGTGAACTTAGAAAATGTAGAGCCAAATTTCAGTAATCCTAAAAAAGCCAAATGTTTATTAATCCTAAAAGGTTATTATAAAATTACCACCATTATTTGAGGTGTTAGAATGTGTCTGATAGGAATGTGTGGTAAAATTCTTAACACATTTTTAGATGGTTAACTGTATGAACAAAAATATTTTGTTGATTTTTGTAAACTAGAACATTTATTTGTGTTTAGTTTATAATGTAGTTACTAGTTACATTCAGAGGAGAGCATTTATCAACCCTATTAAACCTCCTCATTAATTTCCTTTTGGATAACCATAAGATTATAATGTTAGCCTGTAATATAATAATTACCTAAATCGATTGTCTGAGCAGGCATGTGTGAAATCAACTACCAATTCAAACGGAGAGTGGCAGAATGGCTTCAACGTCAGAATAACATGGTAGATTAGTAGATCTCCGTTAGTCTCTCCAATCCTGAAACCAAACAAATAAATACATCGTAATGCTTAGTTCAACTTGTGAATATTAACTCTATTGCAAATCTACCTGGTCCATTAATTGGTTTTACTCTTGCAGGAATTAACACTATCATTGGATAAACCCTATATGCTTTAAACTGTTTAAAAAACATTATTAAACTTAAAGTGTTCACAATCTACAGGTAAAGAAAAACTTCACCACAGACCATTTTTAGCCGTAGTCCACATTAAGGGATCGAAATCATTAGTTGACACTGATTCACTGTTTCATTTTAGCTTCTCATCACCACAGGGTTGACTGGTCTACAGGAATATCCACCAAGCTTGCTGGTGTATAGATAAATATAAATAATGAGTGCAAATCACAAATTTTAGGCAACAATAGCCTATATTAAAAAAAATAGTACAAATTACTAAACATTTAAAATATATTCCCATCAAGCAGCACATCAATTCATTTCTGTTTACTATGCAATACACTAAAATATAATAAAAATTGTTGTTTTATTAAAGAACGCCAATTTAAAGCCATAGGTGGATTTTATTCTAAGCCTACAACTTAAAGTTGAATTAGAGTTAAAAATACTATTAACAATGACAGTGTGATTATACTGAGGAATAAATATATGTTGGTATAAGTAGAGATATAAAGAACTCATAAACACAGGTAGGTAGGACCATTAACATTTTGATCATTTGATACTTTGATCATTTATGTGACATCAAAAAAATCAGTAATTTAAATCAGCTTTCAGTGGTCCAATTTAAATACTGTACATTTATTTTATTCACAAACTGTCTTCAACATCATCAAAATAATAATGGGATTCATACCCGAAGTTAGAATAAAACCAAATACTCTAACAATATCCAATGTATATTTAATATTGAACACTATTGTCTTGATTTAGTTAACTACTAACTTGTATCGCCTTGCAATGTAGTAGAAGACTGGGTGGCCTGCTTTGGAAGTGCCTGCCTGATAGAAGATGTTGAGGGACTTGATGCTTTTGAATTCTTCTTTTTCATGCATGTTGTGTTTCACCATTATTTCCTCAAAATTAGTGCTGGACATGTCAATAGAGCTCCACCGAGCATACGATGAGAACAACAGGCTGTCAACAGACCTGTAACATATACAGAAGAACATTCCATTAACTAATTTAATTTACTAGTTGAATATGAAAACAATAAACTAAAACAACAAAAAAGGAGCAAGCAAATTTGTTACTGTTGTATTTCCTCGTCTAATCAGATAATAAAGACCCTACATAGAGTCAAAGCTGGGTGTCCAGCGTCCCATCAAAATTAAATTCAAGGACAATTTCCAGGTCAAGACTAAACTCAATACTCAAAACAATAATAAATTACTTAAGTATACCTGATAGTAAATTAAAACACCATCAGCAAATTCCGTCATAATTTCTTGCTATTGCAGCCACATCGGTGTTTAGATCTTTCGATAGCGGCAAAATTAGTGACGATTTCTCACAATCACGGCGACACAGGTGATAATATCTTTTAATAACGCGATCGTGACAATACCTGTGATGTTACGCAATCATGGCAACATCGTCTCAAATCATCTCGTAATCTCCGATCGTCTCTAAAGATTATTTCAGCTCGTGTGACTATCTTTTGCGATTGCCGCCACATCTGAGATGATCTTGCAATCATGGCAAAATTTATGATTATTTGTCGTGATTGTGGTAACAGCCGTTATCATCGCTTGTGATCGCTAAAATGCAAGAACTACAGTAGCGTCTTACACGATTGCAGCAAAATCCATGAAAGTTTCTTGTAACCATGGTAACCGACATGATGATTTCTTGCAATCGTGACAACATCGGCAATCATCTCCAGTGATTACCTCAACAACATTTAACATTCAAATATTTTAAGTTCCTGGTTCTTTACCTAATTTGCGTACAATTTGAATTTACATATTTTTTCCCGCACGTACAATTCCCAGTTTCTCAGTTTCTAGGTCGGCTACACACCCTGCAATGTCAAAGTGCTTCCCCATAGACATCCCATCCATGGGACTCTCTGTTGCCAGATTTTTACTCCAAGAGAACATAGTTTATTGAGGCCCTCACATAGGGTAATTCCCAGAGCTATCTTTTGGAAATTTGTGAAACTTGAAATATAATACATAAAACATAAAAAATTACATCTGTAAAAATTTTTTTCAATTACTACTCTAAAGGCTTAAAAGTTATGACAGTAACTAATTTCAGTTTGGCTTCGTAAAAAATCTGTGTACCACACTGTTGGTGGATCAATTAAACTATTCTTATTCTAAAACTAAAATTTAACACGGGCAAAGGTTTTACCCAGAGATGGGATACCCACTGGGAGTCCACAGGCTTGTGCTCTGGGGGGCCGAGGTAAGCCAGCAGAGTGGCCATCTTGTCAAAGGGTCGTCGACCTACGGCCTTGTGGTCGCGAGAGCTGCTGAGGTAGTCGCCAATGCGCTCCTGATGGTTCCACAACAGTCGGTGCAGAGCCAGCACGTTGGCATCACTGATGAAGGACATGGAGTGAGAACCTTGGTCCTCAGTCTCACAGTCAGACGCTATCTGGATGAAGAACCTTATAAACAACAACAAATAATTAGGAATTTGAGAAATTAACAACAAACAAGTCGTACATTCTATTATATATTTTTTTTATTAATAAAAGTAAATTTAATTCTAGAGTATTTCTTAGTACAGACCAGTGGCGGCTAAAGGGGGGGGGGGCTCAGCCCCCCCAGAAATCAGGATTCACATTTTTATTGGTTAGGTTAGAAAAATTAACTAAAAAAAAATTAATAGGAACCTCAAAGTATGATATTTGTAAACAAAATGTATTATTTTTTATATGGTGTCTAGTAGTCGGAAAAAACGGGAAAGTCGGGAATTAGTATTGATTTTCAAATCTGTCTTGAAAAGTATGGATTTAGTCTTTATTTTGATAAGAAAGTCGGGAATTTTCATGATTTTGCCACTATCATCGCAGACGACGCGGATGACGTTTCCATGGCCGCGGGAGTCAATGATGATGTCTACACGGCCGCGGGAAATGATGATAATTTTGCCGTGATCATTGCAGACGACGCCGATTACGTTTCCGTGGCCGCGGGAGTCAATGATGATGTCTACACGGCCGCAGGAAATAGGAAATGATCATAATTTTGCCGTGGTCATCGCAGCCGACGCCGATGATGTTTCCGTGGCCGCGGGAGTCAATGATGATGTCTACACGGCCGCAGAAAATGATCATATTTTTGCCGCGGTCATCGCAGCCAACGCCGATGACGTTTCCGTGGCCGCGGGAGTCAATGATGATGTCCACACGGCCGCAGGAAATGATCATAATTTTGCCGCGATCGCGATCTGTGATGATGACATCCGAGGCAGTTAATGATGATGTCTACTTGGTCGTGGAAGATTTTCATCATCAGAAAAATCCAAATTGGCTAGTTTGAATTTTTATTGCTGCATTTTTTCTTTACTTGAATCACCCCATTACATATTATTACTTTATGACATAAAGACAGGGTTTGGTGTACAATTAAAAAATTTGGCTAAATTATAAAAATTGGCATTAGTATCAAGAATTGAGAATTGCTACATTTTGGTATCAACGCATCACTAATTGTTGAAAAAACCAGTCTTGAAAAATTTGGCATTAGTCTGAAAAAGTCTGGAATTAGTCTCAATTTTTTAAATGGAAATAAACTAGAAACCATAAGTTTTAACTTTTTATGTGGTGCAAAATAACGTCTTACCGTTGCCAAAAAGGTGTTGGAGCTCTCAATAGACAAAATCAAGTTCTTGACTTCCTCTGTGAGAAGGCCTGAGTTATATGCTACAAACCAGCAATTAATTTAGGATCCTAGGTACACAGTATACACACCTTTAGGGTTTGGATCGGTCTGTTCCTTTATTTTATCTTATGTCAGGTATTTTCCATAATGTGTAAGGGTGAAATTCTTACATGGAATTCGTAAATTAGCCGATTACAAGGTCCATCAAGTATGTTCACTGAATCCGTAATTCCTTTTATGTTGATTTCCAAATAGCTACGTAGCTATACGTCTTTGGAGCTTATATTTTTTCACACATTTTCGGGGGAGGACCCCCGGCCCCCCCCCCCCCGGCAGCCCGGCTTAGCCCCCCCACATTTTGAGGCCTAGATCCGCCTATGGTACAGACTAGTTTGTAAGATAACTTTGGTCAGATATCTAATGCTAACTTAAAGCTTACTAAATGGATAACACTTCTTAATTATTCACAATTAACAATTAAAAATTACAAAATTATTTAGAATTATAAGCAATTTTTTTAGCCTAAATTTTAAAGCTGGGAAACTGAACACCTTTGGATCGTTAGATAGTATGGTATTTACCTTCGTCCTACTTCAAAGTGTGCCCTGAGAAAATCATTGAATGGAATCATATGTTGCTCCTTGCTGAACTCAACATGGTTGGCAATGTTTTGCAGGATCTTTGACATCAACATAAGTCCTCTTTTCACTGGCTGAGGAACAGTCTTGCCAACAATCCCCATTTCTTGTGGTGAAACTGTATCAAAGAAAGGCACGCTTTGTTTATCACAATACTTTGAAAAGTATACTGATTTACCTGTTTGTTTTTTTCAAGTCTTAATTTAACATTGACCTCTATATAAATCTGTTCTATTTCTTATACAAGAATATTATTCACACATCTTGCTTCAACAAACTCTATTTCCAAACTAAACCAATGTTTACAAAAACATGTTTACAAAAATCATCTGACAACAAAACATATTTAAACACAAATAAATCATATGATAAAAAGAACAGACTTAATACAACATCCCGCCTCAAGATGTCCACATCTTTATGAACCTGAGTACCGCCTCGGTTTCTTAATGGACCTTCCGTAACGGGTTACTGTGACAGCTCCTGGACGATCACGTGAGTTGCATGGACGATTAAGGACCATGGATGAACAGTTTGAAAGAATACCATCTCCTCCGTAGTACGGTGCAGGAACTAAGAACTTCCTGTTTCGGCGAATGGTTCTCTTGTCAGTTTCCACAAGGTAGGAACGTGGTTCGTTCAATTTCCTGACTACCTTACCGTGTCGACGTAGATCTGTTATCCATACCATGCTTCCAACTTCTAATTCACTTAAACCACTCGCTCCATGTCGTTTATCAAATTGTATCTTGTACTTATTCTGGTACTTATTCTCCCTCTCAAAAAAATTCTTGTTTTCCACAGGATTTCCAACCAAAGTAGATGGAAGATTGTCTCTTAATTTCCTTCCAAACATAAGTTCAGATGGGGAAAAGCCGGTTTCAAGAGGTGAGGTCCGGTAAGAAAGTAGGGCAAGTTCAAATTTATCCTTGTTTTTCTTCATTAGCCCTTTTGCTACTTTCACAGCTGCTTCAGCTGCCCCATTTCCCTGATGGTGGTGGGGACTACTTCTGAATGTGGAGAACCCCCACTCCTTTGCAAACAATTTAAATTCACTTGAGTCAATATGGTGAAATTGTGTCCCACTATCTGAATAAACACGTTGAGGAATTCCAAAACGTGAAAATGTGGTTTTGCAAACCCGAATCACATCTGAAGCCCTCATTCGATGCATTTCCTCGACTTCAAAGTATCTTGAGTAGTGATCCACGATAACCATATACCACTTGTCTTCGTGTTTGAACAAGTCAACAGACACATTTTGCCACGGGTAATCCGGAACAGTTCTCGGAATCAACGGTTCACTGTGATTAGTTGAGTTCTGAATACACACTGGACACGATTTGATTTTCCTTTCTATTTCTTGAGAAATTCCAGGCCACCACATGGTTCCCAAAGCACGTTTCCTTGTTTTTGTGATTCCCAAGTGTCCACTGTGAAGCCTCTCGAGCATTTCCGCTCGTAGTTCCTGAGGTATTATCATCCGAGTTCCTCAAAGCAATAACCCATCAATACAACTTAACTCGTCTTTCACGTTAAAGTACTCTTGAATCTCATTAGGTAAACTTGATTTTACTGGCCATTCGTCTAGAATTTGTAACTTAAGTTGTGCACAGATTGGATCTCTCATTTGTGAGTGAAGTACCTTTGTCACATTTTCATCTGTAGTGTTTATACTAATCAGACTGATTTCGTGGACGAAGGCTTCCACTTCTTCGGTCAATTCGCCATCTTCATTAGCCGGAATAGGACTTCTTGATAGTAGATCTGCTATGGCAAGGTCTTTCCCTGGGGTCCAGGTCATGCGATAATCGTATCTCATCATACGCATTCGGAATCGCTGTAGCCTCGGTGAGAGCTCGTCCAAATTTTGTGTTTTGAAAATTGAGACAAGCGGTTTGTGGTCGGTCTCAATTGTATACATTTTACCCATTAGGAAACATTTCAAACGGTCACTTGCCCATGTGCACGCAAGCGCTTCTCTCTCAATGTTACTGTAGTTTTCTTCAGCAGTCGTTAGAGTCCGAGATACATATGCCACAGGTTTCTTGTTTTCTCCTTCAACTTGAAGTAAAACCGCTCCAAGACCTTTTTTTGAAGCATCACAAGAAAGAATCGATGGTTTTTGCGGATCGTAAACAGTCAAACATGGCTCTGATGATAAAATCTGTTTTACTGTGACAAAAGCTTTTTCTTGAGCTGGTCCCCAAAAGAAATCGTTTTTAGTCTTTAGCAAGCTCGTAATTGGCTCCAAAATCTCACTGCGGTTCGGAATAAATTTTGCCAGAAAAGTGATCATGCCCATGAATCTTTGTACTTCATTAGCGTTTCTTGGAGCTGGTAAGTCCACAATCGCTTAAACCTTGCTTGGATCAGGCTTGATTCCGTCCTTAGACAGCACAAACCCCAAAAATGTCACAGTCTTCTTGCAGAACTCCGACTTCTGCTTATTCAAGGTGATTCCATTATCTTGCACTCTCTCTAGAACAGCCCTAAGACACTCGTCGTGTTCTTCTTTCGTTCTTCCCCATATCAGACAGTCGTCAATGTGCACTAAACAGTTTTTTGCCCCTTCTAAAGCTTTTGACATGCGGCGCTGAAACTCTTCAGGAGCGGACGTAATTCCAAAAGGTAACTTACGGAATTTATACCTCCCGAAAGGGGTGATAAATGTCGTGTAATCTTGTGACTCCTCTGCAAGGTTCAGTTGCCAGAACCCGGAATTCGCATCGATCTTGCTGAAGTACTTGGCTCCCGCAATCTCGGCCAATGAAAGTTCAATCTTTGGAATAGGATAAAACCGACGTTTCACACTGTTGTTGAGTTTGGATAGGTCTACGCAGATCCTAACCCCACCTCCCTTTTTTGCGCAAACTACCATTGGTGCGCACCAATCAGTCGCGTGTTCAACTGGAACAATCACTCCTTTCTCAAGCATATCGTCTAACTGTTCTTTCACCTTGGTTTTTAAAGGTATTGGTACAACCCTGGGGGTGGATATAGCGTAAGGAACTGCATTCTCCTTCATTTCAATCTTGTACTCTCCTTTCATATTTCCCAACCCTTGAAATAAATTAGGATACTTAGTAGCCCAGTCAATATCAGGTGAATCTACAGAAAAAATTCTCCTCACCAGGTTCAGTTCTTCACAGGAACGTCTGCTAAGAAGTGGAACAGTGATCTCCTCAGAAATATACGCAAGATCATAAACTGATACACCCTTATGTTCAAGCTTTAGCCTTAAAGTTCCCAAAATATTGATTCGTTCTTTCTTCTTTGCGCTAAACACAGGGGATTTGCACTTTCCTAGAGGCAGAGTCTTAATAAAATCACCGACAACTCCTACTGGAATCATGGTTACATCAGCTGCTGTGTCAAGTTTAAATTTTATAAGACCTAAATCTTGGTTTCCAAAGCTTGCTTTTACCTCCTGGACCCAGGCTTTGTCACTGTTGTCTATATTCCCTATGAAAATCTCAGGGACCTGTTGATAACCACTGTCTGAATCTTGCTGTTCGATTTCCTTAACAACGTTTTTGTTTTTTCTCATCCACTTTTCGCGGGAGGGACAGCATCGAAAAAAATGTCCAATCTCAGAACATTTGTCACATTTGGCTTTCCTAGCAGGGCATTCGGCCAGTGATCCGTGCCAGTTATAACCACACTTCCTGCACTTTTTCCTCATAGCATCCTCAGTGAATTTCTGTTCACCAGCTCTTTCAGACAGATTTGTTTTACCGACTTGTACTGACGTTTTATTCACCATAAAAACATTAGTATTGGCGAGTTCACGTTTTTGGCGTTCTAGCTTCTCGTGTTGGCGCAAGGTATTAATTGCTTTCTCCAGAGTCAATTGAGAGTCCAGCTGGAGTCTATCACTTAGAGCCTCATCTTTCATACCAATGATGAGGACCAGAAGCACCATCTCATCGTTCAGTTCACCCCATGCACACGTTTTTGCAAGACAATGCAAATCTGTTATGAATTTTTCAGATGGATCACTCCCTTGCTTGTGTCTCAGAAATTTTGTTCTCTCATAAATTATATTTCGTCTTGGCACAAAGTATTCATCGAAGGCCCGAAGAGCCTCGTCATAAGTATTCGGTTTTGGTGAAAACAAATCGAAAATATCTTCACTCCTACTACCCATTGTAAACAAAAGTACATCGATTTGCCGAGCGTCGGAAGTGATATCCAGACCGCACCCCCGTCTGTACCTTTGAAAGCGATTCCTCCAGGAATGCCACTCATTCGGAGTAAAAGAGAAGGTTTCTGGAGTTGGTAACGTCAGATTTATCATCGGAGTAGGACACATTACTGCATTATTTTCTCGGTTTGTTTGTCCCAATGCAAAACCTAGTGACTCACCTTCAATCTTTCTAGAATCCCTTTCTGACATGTAGTTGAATTCACTTTGGGCATCGTTCTCCTCAATGTCCTCATACCTTTGCCTACGAGTATTTCGTTTTTTTCTGCCCTTAATTGACATTATGCGTGGTTTTAGACTTTGTTCGATAAAAAAAATCCACTAAGCTGCCACCATGTTCTATTTCTTATACAAGAATATTATTCACACATCTTGCTTCAACAAACTCTATTTCCAAACTAAACCAATGTTTACAAAAACATGTTTACAAAAATCATCTGACAACAAAACGTATTTAAACACAAATAAATCATATGATAAAAAGAACAGACTTAGTACAACAAAATCAAGAATGGCTGCCCTAGTATGAACATCTAATTTTGCAAATGAAGTCACAATAGGCCTTTATGATGGAGGCAGTATCAACCTGGTAACCAGTGGGTGTTAGAAAAACGTGTTGACAATTGTTTTAGCGAATTTCCCATATAGGGAATAAGCTATTACCGTAGTACTCACGGTGAGACCTGGACCCGGGACAAATTTACTTTTCGTTTTGAGGTCCCTAGAGGCCAAAAACACTATCCGTTCAAATTCATATATATATATATATATATGTGTTAGCACGATAACTCAAGCAAAAATGATCCGATTTTGATGAAATTTGGTATAAACGTGTAAACCTACATTTATTTGAACGAGTTCGCGAACCAGCATGATCCGACTATGGGAACGGGGGTTTATGAGGGGTTTTATGGGGTAAAAATTGGGTTTTCCCATTTTTGACCCTAAAAACACAAATTTTCACAATTTCTTTCCAAACCATTTTGTAGAGCTTAAAAAAACAAATAATTTAGTATATTGAAGCGTTATTGTACGCCTAATGGTTACAGAGAAAATTCCAAAAAATTGTAAATTTAAAATTCCCATGTTATTCTTATGGAGAATAAGTCAACTGTTGTAGTTTGCTTGTTTATGAACACATTTTGATAGAATATGTAAAATACATTCATTTCTTACTAAACTATTAACATTTTACAACAAAAAACACCTTTTTACCCTCCCTGTTGCAGCAAACCTAAGTACTCGTTAAACTAACTCTATTTAAATAGGGAATAAATGTGATATTTTTCAGGAGGCATTTTAGTGTAAATCCAATCAGGCAAATGAAAATTCGCTTAGTCTGCAGGTTTGCTGCGGCGGGGGTATTTAAGTGTACATACAAAGTTAAAAAATACAAGCCTACCTTGAAATTTTGGGTTATTTTTCAAATACATACTGTGTACACAGACACACATATTAGTATAATATAATAGAAATATATTAAATCAATTTGAAAGAGGTCCCACCTATTTAAATGTTTTGTGGATATAGCAGGATTCAAACCCATTCCTCCCGCAAAGAAGTCTGAGCCACTAACCCCTAGGCTTTCAACACACACAAAGAATTCAATCAAGGCCGAACAAAACTTGTACGACCAATTCAATTTTGATAATGTTATATTACATTACCTATAGCAGGATTGATGAACCGCAAGAAGATGACTGTCCCGACTGCTCCGATGTTGTTCTGAGGAGCTTGAGGGAACCTCTTGCTGAGGACTTGATACAAACAGTGGCACATGCTTCTCAGTTGCGGGGGGAATCTGGCCACAATTTATTATTAATAGCTTTTTCAACTTTATAAACAAACCTAACATGATGTCGGGTAAAAAACTGTTTATTGCTTTAAACCATTTTGATAAAAAACACTTATAGAAATTAATTGGGGATATTTATCCACATTTAAACTTGAGATTTGATAGTACTTAACTATTTAAACAGTAGGCAAAAATGGATTATGTGTTATGAAACAAATGTAAAAAATTAATAAAATAGATTGATGAGATGGTTTACTTACTTGTCAGCAGAAGATACTATCGCATCAAAGACTTTTTGAGTCAGAGCAATAAGGTTTCTTCTATTTTGTTCAATATCTTCTCCTTGTCCCAACCTATATGACAGAATTAATTTTAACGTTAATTCTGTTATGAAACAACAGTGTAATTAATATTTTTTTATTTTAAGGTAATGGTATCAGCATAAACTTTTGACAACAAATTTACAATAACGATCTACCAATGTCCAAGAATTGGTGACATCAAGAATTGGCACATCACTACTAAAAATAATTCATCTCTCTCTAACACACACACTGCGATTGTGAACAACTTTAAAAGATTAAGCAGCAATGTGAGATCCTAGGACGATGTGTATGGTTGCCATATGGTAATGTGTAAAAAAGAGGAGATTTTAGCTGGTAACCCCCACTATAATAGTGGATAAAAATTATCGGGCTAGCAAAATTGTAAACCTGGTACATAGCAAAAATACTTTAACAGAAACTTTAAGGGTCATAAACTTATAATAAAAATGATATCAGTGGCTCGAAAGTAAACAAGTTTTTCTTATTATTTAAATGGAACTGTCAAAAACGACCAAACCAGTTGTTACCGCTATTAGCCTATATACATTCGGGCCAGTAACGTAATTTGTTTATATTTATTAGTCTATACCGTTTCTGTTCAATATTCGTGCTTCATTGTCAAAGGCACATGAAAACATAAAATGTTGCATTGCTTGTCACAACAAAACGCTCTCTTCTGCTAGGCTTTGGTAGTGAACACAAATACTTAATACTTTCAGACTGGCCGGCAGACGCAAATTGAAGGACTGGGAGCAATAAAAACAGACGATAAAGGACGTTGCTGGCCAAAGTGAAACCAAGGATTAAAAAAACGTTAGTAGAGAGAACAAGAGTTGCATTTTTCAGTTATTGCATAACAATATTTGCAAACACAAACATTTATTTTATTCCAAAAGTGCCGTTATATAATGTATTTTAATAGAGAGTAAAAAAGAAGAGATTTTTCATGTTTTTCAGAATTCCCCGGAGCTAAATTTTGAACGTCAAAATCCGGTAATCTCCGGGGAAATCTAGGAAAATGTCAGCCCTAACGATGTGCCTAGGAGGTTTGGCAGTCCTAGTTTAAAATATTTTTTGTCAGATCCCAGCTACTGGGTTGCATTATGACAAGCGGGTCTCGTCAAAACGCTGTAAACATTAAGTTAATTGTTGTAGAGTAACAATGAAGTTTCTTCTTCCAAGCAAATTATCAATATGAATGCAACCCTTTGAGAAAATTTAGGTAACAAATAGTTTGGATTCAAAAGTTGTCTTTAATTTGACAGGCCTATTTTACCTTGCCGGATCAACCTCTAAACTGGGAGCTTGGTCTTCTATGAGAGGCCGCACGAGAGGTTCCAACAGACTCTGCAAGTAGCAGGCGCCGTAGATCTTGAAGCAGAAGGCCATGATCTTGGACCCGAGGGAGTTGCCTCTGAACAGAGTCTGCATGCAATCTGAGACCTCCACCTCTCGGTAGAACATGTTCCACAGTAGAGGAGACAGCAAGTGCTTGGCATCAAACAGTGTAACAAACACTCGGGCCAGTTCATCCTGCAAAATGGCAGATAAGATATCTTGTAAAATATTAGGTATACAAAGGGAACTTGGAGCCTACAACTAACTGAACCAAGTGTATTTAACAGACTAATGAATTCTTATAGAAAAGATAAAACTAAATTCTAAATTGTTAATCTAAGACTACAGAAGATTCAAAATTAAAACAATCGTAACTACATGTTTTTAAATATTAATTTTCAACAACAATTTTTAAAAGAATAGCAGTTATATTGCTATCAAGTTAATTTCTAATAATTTCTCAAAGTTAAAACGGTACTTTAGTATCAGCTCTAATGTAAAAAATATGTAACTTACAAATTTGAATTTAAATAATATCAAAACATGCTGATTTTGTTCTAAGACAAACTATGGACAATTTTCAACAGGAATGAAAGGGAAATATACACACACAACTTGTACATAGTAAAACACTCACCATCTGAGACGTAGTGACTACATTGGCCAGAGCCATGGCTATGGGCAGTTCTCCCTTGTCACTGATCATAGTCACAAGTTGCACAAGCTGTTCAAACCTGTCGGCCAGAACAGTCTCTGCTAAGGTGTCAAACTCCGTGCCTTGCTGCAGGATCTTGGTCAACACCTCCATGAATGCAGCTCTGGTCTGTAGATCAGGGTTGTAGCCCAGGTCTGCAACGCAACAGTAGCATTGTGAACAGGAGTGCCATCGTATAACACCATACAAGATAGAATAAAGCAGTAGTTTGCTGTATACACTACAAGGAGGTGTAAAGAGATATGTCCAAACACTTTTCTCTTTACACAAGTCAACTGACAATGGACTAAAATAAGGTTTGACCTCTTAGCCTACAGAAATCTAATCACCTAATTCAAACTTGATGAGAGAAATGTTTTTCCTTTTCATCGTAGTTGGCTACTATGATAAGAATAAACGGAGGATAAAGGAATACAAGGCTACTACTATGAATCCAATGAGAACGTTACCTACATAGGCTACTAACCACGTTTTTAGTAAATCATTTTTAATCATTCCACATTTTGTTAGAATTTTCACATGTTCCAATCACAAAACTCACAAGTTTTAAATAATTTTCCACAGGACTTGCACATGCACACACAGTAAGGATAATAATTTGAATCAAAGTAATATAAAATTATTTGTAAATTATTTATAATGCATGATTTGTACTGAAATGTCACATATTCATTGCTGATCTTCAGCTTCTGTATTGTGAATTTTGTGATGAATAAATTGAATTTAATTGAATCTTCTTTTGTAATGCTCGATTGACGTCAAAAAATGTACACTACTGATCAGAACATAGTATAATATGTAGAATATTACTTTTTTCAAACATTAATTATTATTGTACTTGAAAGTAGACACTGACCAATAGAGTGCATGAGACCACTGTCAATGTTGGCAGAGAGCAGGTTGGACATTGCCTGTATAGTAGCGTTTCTCAAAGTGTTGAGCTTGCTAGCGTTGACACGCTGTCGTCCCGTGTCTTTGCCTTCTATCTCAGACGTTACATCCGTACAGTCATTCAGCAGGTTCATGAACAATGTGAAATACCTGTATAAAACAGCAGATTTAAAAAATCTCAACAAGATAACTGACTATAATAAAAACGGTCAAGAGTTCTGTGATTCAATGAGATGATGATAAATTTGACAGAGCAAAGATATTTAAGCAAACAAATAATATCTAGTAGACTTACTTTAAAAACAGTTGACTCTTGGCCTCCATGAGGTCTCCTCTATCAGATTCCTCTGGTTGAAGAGGCAGCCCTCTCAGTAGAGCTGCCACAGCTTCCATACAGGCTTGGTCCAAGTCTCTGAAACATCCCACACATACATCAACATACAATTCGTTTCAACAGCTCATTACAACTCAATTGAAATGAACTGTGTATACAAAGAGCGTTAAATAATAATTTTGATTGTAGACTTAATAATCAAGGACAGTAGCCAAAAATGCACATTTTGCTAAAATCAGATTGAAACTGTCCATGTGATTGACACAGTGTATGAGAAGGTGAGGTGTAGGCTACTAAAAATAAACATTACAATTGGGTGGACCGATGGTTCTAGGTGTTGTGAGCTTGCTATGGCCAAAATCTCAACTAATAAACCAACATGTATAAATTGCAATCAGTAATATTTAAATGAGTCAGGTTTGTCCTTAAAGAACAGCATAATACTGTGGTAATTGATTTAACCAACACAAACCCACAAATTATGTATGTCTATAACAGTTAAACAAGTATTTGCAGTCAAAAATTATCCTATTCCATTAGTGACAGAAATAGTATTTTATCTCCTTACATCAATAACTCAAAGTACTAACATAGAAGAAACAACCTATTCTGAGATAAAATACAAATAGAAATAAATTTCACAGTAACTAACGTACAAAAAGGTGTTGTTGAAATATTGGAAAACAGTGTGTATTATTAGTCCTTATTTTATGTGTGATTGTGATGTTAGACCTGGTAATGGAGCTGACATCTCCAGAGCTGGGAGGAGCAATCTGATGTGAGGTGCCCATCACCCAGTCAGTCAGGTACTCGACCAGCTTGTTGCGGAACTTCATCTCCTGACGGAACGCTAGGTCATCTCTCCTCATCATCATAGCCTCCACCAACTGGCACAGTTTGGTCTTGATGTGGATGGCATGAACTGTCATGTCTAGGTGTCTCACATACCTAACCCAACATAACAGGCATTCATTCTAATAGACCATCTATTGTTAGAGCTTTAATCAGGTTGTTAAAAAAAGTTAAACATTTTTTTTGCACTCAAATCTTCTTAGACCTACTTATTTTTATATCCCAAAATGTAACCACATTGTAAGTTTGTGAGAAAAAACTCTTCAACATAAATTTATAAAACTTTAACCCTTTGTATTAGAATGGCGAGTATAGGTTGCCGCCCGCCATTTTCCCTACTGATCAAAAATAGCAACCTACTCACAAAAAAAAAATCAAAAATCAAAAAAGTTTATCTTTGCAGTTGAATTGCGAGTATAGGTCACCGGGTGCCATTTTCTCAACGGCTCGAATGGCGACCTATACTCACCGAAAAATGAAAAATAAATTCGACTTCAAAGGGGTAACTTTAATCTGTCTCACAGTACCTCACTATGGCCAGCATCATTCCCTCAATGCTTGTAGCCCCTAGGTGTTCTGATGGTTGCTCAGTCTTACTGTCCAGTACGTTTTTCATTATGAAGATGATATGCTCAATAAACTGTGTGTTAAAGTCTGACACAATCACCTGCAACGGTAACAGCTTTTAAGTTTAAATGGTATTTTTAACTCTTTCTTCAAAACATTAGCTTGAGGCAACAAGTTCTGTTACAGATGGAGAGTTGCTTGGAGGAGGCACACTCTGGGGCTTCTGGTGGCATCGGTACTACAGGTAGGTAAAGGTTGTTACCAGACATTTTATAATAACTTAATGTAAAACTAAACTAATATTTAAGAAATAGTAACTAGTAAAACAATTACCTGTCCCTGTTGGTCAAAGAACTTTTCAACAATAGTTTTGATTTGATCAAATAGTATTGGGTATAAAGCTGGTGACATCTCATGACCAACCAACTCTTTGACATGTTTCTGGATCTGAGCTCCGAGTTTCTCATTGCAGCACACCAACAATCGAAGCAACTGTCCAACAAATCTGTGTCAAAATGCAACAGAAGGTTATTGAAATATAATATATATAGACTTAAAGGTAAAAAGGATGGCTTCATTAACTTGAACCTTGGTATCTAAAATTTTTCATAATCCCGGTGAAATCCCAGAGCAAACTGACAATGCTAAAAGTACCCTTATAAGTAAAATTTTTTAAATATTTAACCTTAATAAGTTGTACCATTTTGTGATCAATAATACAGTACTAAACCTCTATTAGGCCTACTCAATACTATATGCCGTACTTTGCCAGTTGGCTGAGTTTTAATTCTTGATGAGACATTAAAATCTATCTTGTTTGTTTGGCTGGTATTGTTAGCCTGTCAGTTTCATTTATAGAAATTATTTTGTTCAACGGACATCATATTGTCAGCTTCGCATAAATGTAAAAGATTGGCAGACAAACAAGTTTTTAAGGTTAAATGACCGGTTAAATAAAACGTTGATATCCCTAGGGAACGTGGAGTTCTGCCAAACAACTTTTCAATGATTTTAAAAACCGTGAAAAGTGTGAGGCTGAAGATGTATTTTACACTTGTGCCGTTTAAAACAAAAGTCAAACAATTAAGACTTACATTGAAATTAATTATACCGTTGCCATAAAAATACTGTGCTGTGGATTGTGTATGCACAATAATTGGTTTTATATTACTTCTGCAGCTACTCTTCAGTAAGTAGAAATAGTTTGAGCTCAAGCTTCAGGATGTAAAAGAGTTATGAAAGACATGAAGTAACAAGATTGTCAGAATTCTTATGTGTTGAGTTTTTGGTGCAACAACTTGATGACTCGAACCTCACTTACTCAAAAACTTCAAAAACTGGAATTCTTACCCTTCCCCTTTCAGTATCGAGATATCAAGTTCGCACTGTATTATTCTACACTAGCAAAATTTATTCAATCTGTCATTACAATGCAAAATGCAACTCAACTCCTTCCCTATCACTGCAAAACTGTTCATTAGTAAAAGACACTGGATGTAGACACTGCCCTCTTTTGCAGCCTCGTCTCAAGAAAAAGAGTGAATTCCTGCATAGTTGTAAGTAGAAATCTGGTATAAACTATGTCCTAGTAGGTACACATTAAGGAAAATTTACAAACAAGTTTCCAAAAATCGAATCAATTCTTGAAACTTAAATGTCGGTGTCTGTTGTTATATCCCAAACAAATTGTAGGTTTATTTTACAGGAGGACTTGGCTTGTTAGTGTAGACTTACTGAGTAACTGGACAATACTGGACTTCTTGTGCGGCGTTGGGTAGTACATTGCACTTTCTGTCTGACGCACAACTCACAGGTCTGCAGGGCGACCTACGTTGTAGACAAACTCCACCCAGCGCACACAGAAACCCTGTCATGTTGGCCCACTCATTGATCTGGTCCTATACATGTACATTACTGAGTTACTTAATAATATCTTGTGAGGAATTAGATAATACATAGCATTTTCTGTCAGACGCTCAAGTCACAACCTCGGGTACATACATAGCATTACATACATTATGTTACATATACATTCCCTCAAATCAGTATTTCATATCCTCGTTCATTTGTCTACTTCTCAAAATAAAAAAAAAATTGAATTATATCTGTATAAGTTAAATTATATCTGATGGCTCTCACAATGGAAAGTTGACTCAAGCACTTCTCACAATCTTAATTTTGCTCCAAGATGGCGCCAAACAAATGTGGTCTGCAAGAATGTGTGCGAAATATTTCGCCAAACAGTAAAAAGATTAAGTGCTTTGGAAATTGTATGATGTGGTTTCACATTAATTGTGCCAGTGTATCAAATGAGGAATTTAATTTATTCAAGGAACTTGGTGATAAAGCTCATTTCATGTGTGAAAGCTGTCGGTTGCTGACTTCTGTTACGTCTCAACAGGCAACGGGTAAGATTGATCTTAAAAGTGACGATGTTTGTAAGAACTCAACTCTGGACGATACGACAGCAAAATCACTTTCTGATCAGGTTTCTAATTTAATTACTAATCATACTGACCTAAGTGAGAAAATCAAATTCTTATTGGAAGAAAACATAAAGTTAAGGGAAGCATTGACGAACCAAGCTGAAGTAATTGGTGACATTGTTTTAAATAGATCTGACAAAGACTCATATGCTAGTAAATTAAAAGGACATTTATTAGGCCCATTAACAACTGATTTTTCATACAAAAGTGCTGATAGTAATTTTTCTCAATCATCAGCGATGACTGAACATGGTTTTGATCATACTAGTAAACAAAATGTTTCGTCTGCTAGTGCCCGCAACAGGATAAAGTCATGTTCGGTTTTGCAGTTCAGTGAAGCTGTGCATAGGCAAACAGAGAAAGGTGGCTCATATCATCTAAACCCAACTTCTCGAATTCACCCGGCAAAGAGTAAGCAACAGTCCAGCAACTCCACAGAGGTTACTGTTACTCGAGCTGTGAACCCTGAAAACTGTTTTCGGGAACAATCCGTTCCAGTTTCTGACTCCGATTCGGACTCATTTCAAACCGTAACTTCTAAACGGGAAAAACAGCGTCGTCGAAGATGGACTGCATCTGATCAAGTTGGCTCTGGTTCTGGTAGCAAGGCTGACATCAAGATTAAGCAGAATCAGCAAAAACCAAATAAACCGATGTTTATAACCGGATCCTTGTCAAACTACGGTGATAACCTAAAAACTGCAGAGAGGAAATCGTTCTTATTTGTGTCAAGACTGGGACCAGACACCAAGCCAGAGGACCTCGATGTTTTTTTAAAGTCTAAAGTGAGCGATGAAGTATTTAAGGTTGAAAAGCTGTCAGCAAAGTATCCAGATGAGTATTCTTCCTTCAAAGTTGTCCTTCCATCTCGGGTCGAAAAGGTAATCTTTAAGCCTGATTTTTGGCCAAAAGGCGTTTTTGTAAATAGATTTGTGATAAAAAACAAAGGTTCTTTAAACTCACAGGACAACCATACCCTCCAACCCTCGTAAGTAAGAATGAGGTGTCAGGGTGTAGGCCTAGGACCAGCCACTCTCTGAAAACTCTGTTATGGAATAGTCGTAGCCTTTGTGATAAGGTTAATTTTGTTGAACTGTCCGCTGATGACTTGAGGAGCGATGTTATATTTATTACAGAACACTGGCTCCTTGAGTCTGAAATTACTGTTTTTAAAATAGAAAACTTTGTTTTGGGCTCTTGTTACAGCAGGCCTGGAATGCACAGAGGTGGATCGGCTATATTTATCAGAAGTAAGCCTAATCTAGACTTAACCTGGAAGGCTGTGCCTCGTTTAACTAATTTGGCCATTATGAATGTTTTTGAAGTTAGTGCTTGTTTGCTGGACAATCCTAACATCTTACTAGTTTGCATTTACCGTATTCCTGATAAAACAAACTTTAAAACGTTTTTACATAAATTGAGTGAAATGTTACAAATTGTTAGCTCAATGAATTGTGATATCCTAATTGCCGGTGACTATAACATCGATTTGAGAGACAGTTACTGCCCATTTAAAACGGACTTCAGCAATTTGATTACCAGTTTTGGACTCAACCTCATGTTAACTGGAGAAATTACTCGGCCTAGCTCTGTCAACCTACTAGAGGGCTCCTGCATTGACAACTACTTGACAAATCTGCATCCTTCTCGCTGGTCTGCTGCGGTTATACCAACTACTGCGTCGGATCACTACATGGTGTCTTCTTCGCTGGACTTGGCTGTTGCTGCAGCATCTAATCAGCGTCATAAGGGGCCTACTAGGAGACTTTACCGGAGACATGTAAATAGCAACAATTCAAGTTTATTTAATAGCTACATTAGGACCTCTGACTGGTTCGATATTTACTCTGTATCTGATGTTAATGTTAAAATTTGTCTTTTTATTAATGTATTTTTAATGTATATAAATTGCTGTTTTCCATTTAAAATGGTTAAAAGTTCACTACATACTAATAGTTCTGCTGGTCATTGGTACACTCACGAGCTTAGGCTATTGAAAGAAAAATGTCTAGATCTATTTCATCTAAGCAAAACAACTGGTTTGGAGGTTCATAAAAATCATTACAGAAGCCACATGAGTGTGTACAACAATAAAGTAAAAGAAGCAAAGTTAGTTTATAATAACAATCGCATTCTAAGAGCCTGTAATAAACCCAAAGAGATGTGGAAAATTATAAAAAATAGTTTATCTATTAACGAGTTACCAGTTATGAAGGCTAACAACAACAATCTTGACGCAGAAGCCTTTAGTTCCTTCTTTGTTGATAGCATTAGTAACTTAGTTGATAATATTCCTAATAATGTAAATAGTATTGATGTATTTTTAGAAAATGTTCCTGTTGTTGATGTTAGATTTGATTTCTCTGAGGTGTCAGTTGAAAAAGTGTTTGATGCTATTAATAATTTAAGTAACAGTACCAGCCTAGACATATTTGGTGTTTCTTCTCAGATGCTTAAAATAAGTAGTGCTTATATCTGTGAAGTTTTGGCTCATATCTTTAATTCATGCATTTCCAGTAATACTTTTCCAGATAAGTTTAAAGTGTCAAAGGTTGTTCCAATCTTTAAGAAGGGGAACAGAAGCATTCCTGGGAATTACAGACCAGTAGCATTGGTTCCCACAGTGTCAAAGGTCCTTGAGAGATTACTTTCATGGCAAATCATCCATTTTTTAGAATCTAACAGTCTTTTGTCTGGTGTTCAGTTTGGCTTTCGAAAAGGCCGGTCAACCACAGATGCAGTGTTAATGTATATTCAAGATACTTTGGATGCGATGGAGTTGAAAAAGGGTGTTTGCTCCAAGTTCTTTGATCTCTCAAGGGCTTTTGACACTGTGTCACATCAATTGTTGTTTAGAAAACTAAGATTTTTAGGTTTTAGTGATAGCGCAGTTGCATTGATGGAATCATATCTATGTGGTAGAAGTCAGGCAGTGTTCTTTGACGGTGTTCTGTCGGATTTGGTGGAGACTCATCATGGCGTTCCGCAAGGGTCGATCTTAGGACCTTTGTTATTTATTATTTATGTCAATGATATGCCTTATAATTTACAGAATGATTGTGTTTCTTGTTATATGTATGCTGATGATGTGTGTCTAAATTTTAAAACTCATAAGGACTTGCAGAATGGAATCACCGTTGGCTCTGTTAATACAATGGTAGACTGGTGTAATGCTAACAAACTGTCTTTAAATTTAAATAAAACACAAGACCTGAAAATTTCTTATGCTAACACAGATTCTCATCAACAACCTGTTAAATTTTTAGGTATCTTAATTCAGAGCAACTTGAAGTGGGAATCACATATAGAATTTGTAGCTGTTAAAATATCCAAAGGTATGTTTATATTAAGAAAATTAAAAAATGTTGTTTCAATGGAAGTTCTGCTTACTGTTTACTATAGCTACATACACTGTCATCTTACCTATGGTACCATTCTTTGGGCTAATTGTGGTTATGTAAAATCTTTATTTGTGTTGCAGAAGAGAGCTATTAGATTAATTGCTGGTGTTCCACCGAAAACTCATTGTAAGCCCATTTTTAGTTGTTTATCTGTCATGCCTCTTAATTGTATATATATTTTTCACTGTCTTATGTATTGTAAAAAGAACTTAAACACTTTGTCTTCCCACTGTGATGTCCATAGTTATAAGACCAGAAACTGTGCTAAACTAAGAAATTATTACTGTACTTATAGTATTACTCAAAAAAGCTTTAAATATTCCTCGATTAAGTTATTCAATCATCTACCATATTATATTCAAGAGTTACCATTAGATAAATTTAAAATAGCTGTTAAGAATTTGTTATTGAAATACTGTTTTTATGACTTAGATGAATATTTTGACAATTGTTTTGACCATTGAAATGTTTTATTAATTTACATTTTGACGCAGCCTATACAGCATTGTATGATTTTTGTACATTGTTGTCTCGGAATAAAGATTGATTGATTTGATTTGATTTGAATCCATCTGTTTAATGTTCTGTTCATCATGATTAATTTAATGTTCAAACTTAGTATCAAACTTAGTATGTTGACTTATCGAAAATAACAATAAATCAAATTATTACAGCTACAAATGAGTTTCTTTACCTCCAATTCATGTTCAGAATTCTGGTGTGATGCTCTACGTTTTCCCACAGAACGGTGAAATGGTTCTACCTGACCATCTTCAAGCTTGGCTTTAGGATATGAGGTCAGCAGTTTGGTAGAACTTTCCCAGTTGCGAAATGTTTCTTCCCAAGCCTATTTGAAAAATAAACAAATGCCATTTTGTCAAAACAGCTATTTTTAATACATTCATTGCAGGTCTAAATTAGCTCTTTTACTCTATAGGGAGTACAAATCAGCAGCTGGAAACTCTGTTGTAAATTTCAATTTTGTAAGCTATTGCATTTATCAAAATTATGTATTGATTGTTTTAATTGTTGGTTTTAGATTTTTGCAATCTTGTAGTTATAGTTTGACATTGCAACAGTGTGTCTAACACAATAATTGTAACAGACAAAATGATTGAATCAATTATTAAACAGCTGACTGTTTGCATTAGCGAAATTGAAAACAAGTCAGCAGTCCTTTTTAGGGGTTAGAAAAGGACTTCATCATCACATAAAAGAAAATTTTGTTTTGTAGTAACTTATTGTTTAAATAATGGTGCAATATGAAAAAAATATAGTTCACCTCACAGGCAAAAAGTGTCTTTTCAACCCTTGCAGAAGGCTTGGCCTTGGTCGTGAAACTTGAGCTTGATTCGAAAAGAGTCACTTTGTGGTCATAATATTTTATTTTACCATGTTTCATTCACACAAACATGGTAAACATTTAATATTAAGTTTAAATTACTTAAGTTGACTTGATATTAAGTTTAAAACTTACTGGTTGTACTCCATTGCCAGAATGATCAATTTTTCTAAGAAGAGCCATAATGCGTTTTTGTAGGGCTGCCCTTCCTGAAATAATTCAAATCATAAGAAGGAATTTGAATGGAACTTTATAATAACACTATTAATCTCACTACACTTTTAGTGTTTTTAAAACTCAATAAAACATTTAAATAATACTTTTAGTAGCCTAAATAATTTTTGCCAACGGTAGTTGAAAATTTCATAACTACAAAACTTGTCACAATGTTTAAAAATCCTATTTATAATTTATTTATTTTTAACACATAAAGATATGAACTTGTAACACTGTTTTTAGGAAAAGGCAGTTTGTATAATTTTATGTAGGCCAATGTAGGTGGTAGCTAAGTTAAATAGTAACGATTTATAATGAAATGATTTTAATTGGTTATTTTTATGTAAACATTAGGATTAGACAAAAAACATTATACAATAAGATAAAAAGATAATGTTTGGTCTTCAATGATTTACCAGGGATCATAGTAAAATCTAAAAATATTTAAACAATTTTATTGACAATTTATTCTCGTCACATCTATACAACAAATACCTATTGTGAGTTATCTATTTTGAATAAGTCTTTATACATTTGTAATGGGATTCATTACATTTTGATTTTGAATAATGATTTTCAACTAAAACAAGCTGTAATTACATTTACTTGAATTGTATTTCATCTCAGTTAAATTTGATAGTTACTTTTAAGATGATTACTACTATTAAATAATTTATTAGATCAAATAAACAATGCCTAATTAAAATGTGTACTTATTGAAAGTTTGAAATCTTTCTTATCTTTTAAACCAGTTTTCTCTTTTAAATTGGCTTATCAATCACAACGTCTATAACTTTTTGTAATTTACTAACATAAACTTTCTGAAAACATAGGTTCCGAAAACTTTTCTCTTCTTCCCGAGCTTTCAGGAGTCCCACAGACCTCTAGTATACTGTACTATGCATATTATTCACATGTAGCTTATTTAATGAGAATACAGACATAAGTCACACATTTCTTAACATGGTATTATTATTTAAAGTTACATTCATATTGTTATTTCACTGATTTGTAAATTCAAAAGCTAATAAAATAAAACTTCAAGACATGACTGCAACATCAACAAAAAAATACAAAAAAAAATACATAACAACAATAAAATATTGGTAACTCTTTCTTACCATCGATAGTATGATCTCGATAATAAACTCTTGAATCCCCGCTGGCTGTTAAGTATAACAGAGATTATAGTATTGTTACAGTTTGTTCTTAGTAAAAGAAAGATATATCGGCATACAATAATGTATCTAGAGACTTGAGAGATTAAGTCTTTAACTAAATTTTAAGAATTGCTACCAATACTGAAATTGGCATGTGGCCAGGGAAGAAGGCTTGAGGGGCTACAGCCCCTCTAAAAGTTGTTTGTATATATGTTTCAAATTACATGTATTCCTAAAGTAAAAAATCCAATAAAAAAATCCTAAAGTATTTAGGTTTACCTATGGGACAGACCTGATCCCCCCATCAACTTATCCCCCCCCCCCCCCAAACCAAATCTTGACTACAGCCTAAATGTGGCAGGAGAAAGGGATTATAGAAACCGCAGAATAGCTGACAGTAAACACCATATCTACTAGCTGGCATGTACTTTTAAAGCCACTAAAGGTACTTTTTTATTAAATAACCTAAAACTTCCTAGAAATCAGTGCAGAGGACAGTGTACTGCCACAAAACCACACATCCTAAAACCACTTGCCCCCCTTCTTTAAGCCACTTACTTTTTATTTTATTTTTTTATTATTTTTTTTTTTATATCATTGACTTTTGTTTATTGAAGTAGACAATCCATCTACATGTACCAGCTCCAACTGTAGCCAAATACTTATTAATACCCCCGCCGCAGCAAACCTGCAGACTAAGGGAATTTCCATTTGCCTAATTGAATTTACACTAAAATGCCTCCTTAAAAATATTACATTTATTCCCTATTTAAATAGCATTAATTTAACGAGTACTCTAGGTTTGCTGCAACAGGGAGAGTAGAAAAGTTTTTTTTTATTGTAATAGTTTAGTATGAAATAAATGCATTTTCCAAATGTGATCAAAGTATATTCATAAACAAGCAAACAACAACAGTTTACTTACTCTGTATATGGTATAAGAATAACATGGTAATTTTGTATTTACATTTTTTTTTATTTTCTCCGTAGCCATTAGACGCACAATAACGCTTTACTATACTAAATTATAAATTATTTGCTTTTTTTAAGCTCTACAAAGTGGTTTGGAAGGAAATTGCTAAATTTTATGTTTTTAGGGTAAAAAATGAGAAAAACCAAATTGTGCTTGACCGCTTTTTTGTGGTATTTTTTATGTTGTATCCGAGTACTTCACCCCTGCTTTTTTCCCCATTTGGAAATACTGAGGGCCGGCTAGCAGTATGTTTAGTGCTGCTATCTGTTTGGTTCTTGTAAAACTACGTCCACAACGAATGGGACGCAGTATATGCCTCTCATTTGGATGAAACTAAATTTAAACGTTTTTGTGCACTCATCCACACAACGCATTAGATGTTCACGCCACCGGCCGTAGCCAGCCATCGTGCATCCGCATTGAACGTGTTAAGGAGCAGGCTGATTCCAAAAATTTCAGTAAATCACACCAGCACAGTCTGTCGGTGGCTCAATTAAACTAGGTTCATTTCTATTCTAAAACTAGCTACAAATTTCCACATGGGAATGGGATGTCTTGTTCTATTCAAAGTCTAAGCTAACATACGGTATGCAGTAATCAGCGATGTATGGTTCACCTGTAGTTAAGACAGTGGAGGCCTGGGCCAACTCCTGGAAGAGGTGATAGTTGGGCAGTAGATGGGTGACAGACAGCTCCTCTGGACCACACCTGATATCAGACTCCTCACACAGTAGACTGAAGCAGGACATGGCCACCAGCACAGCCTCTATGTCAATACTCCACAAGTACATGAAGAACACCACCTGTTCAACAACAACCAACAAAAGTGAAACATTATGTAACTGACAACAACAACCAAGGTTGAAGTTGAAAGACCAGTACGCTCCATACTGAATACCACCTTCAAAAAGGGGACCATATGCACCTAAAATTAATATTGATATTGATGACTTTAGAAAGAACTTAGGTGATTTTCTGTTCACCTACACCATTGGTATTTTTATTTTTAGGTTTTTGTAAAGGACCAATCGAAATCCAGGTTTTGTTACTAAGTTATCTAACATTGACCATTTGTTAGTTAGTTGCACCTACAATTATTAATATTGATATTGATGACTTTAGAAAGAACTTAGGTGATTTTCTGTTCAACTACACCATTGGTATTTTTAAGTTTTTGTAAAGGATCAATCCAAATACTGGTTTTGTTACTATCTAACATTGACCTTTTGTTAGTTAGCATCGTTAATTGATATATCCCAATGACGAACAGCATATGGGTCCAGAATCGATATTGCTTGGAATCAAACTAGCAACCTAAGTAAATGTTGTAACTACTTTTAAAAAGGTTTTTTTAAATTAGTGTTGTTAAGTAGTAAATTTACATATCAAAGGTACAAACCCTTTTAAAAAACTAGTACAGTACGTTGATTGTAATCTTGTAATTTCAACAGGGCAACATTGGACCTAACAACATTTGGGATTTCAAATATTATCGACTTTTTATACTGAATTTCTTACCTCCAATTTAATGTTGGCCTGTTTGCAGATAGGAATGTGACTTCCTACATTAGCATACTCTTTGTGTCTCGACAAGAACTCGTTGCGACAAATCAAAATTTCTCTCAACCATTTTAGGATATCAGTGTAGTTCACAATCTGGTGTTGAATCAACTTTTGAGATATTGAGAATAAAACTTGAGAACTGGAAAAGATAAAAACATACGTATATAAGCAATTTTGTAGATGAAAGATTTTAATATTCCTATACAATTACATAAAATACATATTATATTAATCAAAAAACTAATACTAAAGTAGGAAACAGATGATTGAACTAGTTGGTTAAACTTGGGCAAGTATGATCCTTCCTTATTACTTTGTTATGATATCACAAGCTACGACATACAGAAAGAAGAAAATAGGGGAAAACCATGCCCACTAAAGTAGAGCCTGAAGGAAGCGACTGCAGTGCTATCAATGCCAACTCACTGACACAGTTCACCATCTTTTTAACGCTAGTTGGTCTCATTTGACCCTATATTGTTACCTGACGTCCCAGAAGGTGTTGATGGGAGCCTCAGGGTTCCACACCTCTATCTTCTCAGGCTGATGCAGGACCAGCAGAGCCTCCATAGCCTCCTGAGCCACGTCAGGCATGGTAGGCTGATGTACCAGGCTCACTAGGCCATTGATCAGCTCCAAGGTCGAGCTCTGGATCTCGTGTCCGGCCTTGCCTTGGTTCTGTTCACCGCCAACACATTCAGTATGTATACACATTACTAACATAACTATGAGTCAGGTAGAATTCTAATCGTAGAGGCAAATTTGAATCCGGTTTTGATGAGAGTTTAATTTTTATGTGAGTTTGAATGTGCTGTAGTCAACTAAAGGATTGTCTCTTATTTTAAGGTATATTTTACAATTTGTCCTTCACTCTTTGGTTGTTATATTATCTGAGGACAAGCAATAGTATACAAGATAGTAGAGATGGTTATATTCTGTTGAAATAATATTTAAATTGGTTAAAAACAAGAAACAAACTGCAGGCTAAACAACAAAATGTTTTCTATAAAAATCAGACAGATAAGCTTTGCTTGCAACTGATCCATAAGGATTAAATGTATTAGGGAGTGTATAATCTAAGATACCAACAAAAAATTATATTTACAGTAATATACTGAAATTTGGCTCAAAGTGGCTTCAATACCCTAAGCTAATTACAAAGTGTTTTTCTCATGTTTTATGCAACACTTGGATCCAATGCAAAGGGATGCTGTAACATTTTGAAACAGTAGGCCTATTATAAGAATGATTCCGTTCAAAATGATTTATGAGTATTCAACAAAACCAATATCTACCACGAACCATGAGTAAGACATTTATCACTTGAACCAACAAAATATAAACCTAATTTAACCGGAATAAAGTCAGATGGTTAACTTGCAAACAATACATATTGTAATCTACAGGGATATTGTAGTATACATTTTTTGTTTTTGCACTACGGTAATAGAAGGTAATATCTGATTTTGTTTACAAACAGAACACGCTAAACTAAACCAACTCACATTGAGCATCAGCATAGGATCAGCATGTATGAGCCGCACCATCCACAACAACAGAGTCTTGTAACCAGGCGTCTCTTCCCCACGGTCCTGGAACCTGGACTTGGAGTCTTTACTCTTGAGAGTCAACGACTGAAAACAAAAATATTAAGGTGAACATGTAAATCCTTTCAATTAAAATTGAAATAACTCAACTGAAACAACATGTAAACATTAATGATCTATAGGATAGAGTCCATAAGCCACAATACGTAGGCTTACCTGTATTATTCTTTGAGGAGTGTTGGTTATGATGTAGCCCTGAGTGACTTTGTTGTGAATGTCACTAAACATGGCCCGTAGTTCTGAGGACTTGCTGTACACAAGGTCTATCTGAGGCCACCATTGCAATCGAGGCTGCGTTATAATCCTATCAAGCAAATGTCACAGTTAGTTCTAAGTAAACTAGTAGGCCTAAATTAGATGTAAAAAGACCACTTATGACTATGGTAAGTGCACTACTTATATCTAGTTTTGGTTAACTAAATTTAAGAGTATTTTGTCCTTTTAACATATTCCAAACATATTAACTGTGGAAGTAAATTAAAAGGTTGAATAATTGTTGTACTGTAAATGATTCATTTTTGTCTAGCGACCAAGGTTTCGGAACCTAATGGTTCATTTTGCAGCTGAAGTCCAAGTACTTGAAAAAATCCTCTTCATCCTGGAGTTGTGGAGAGCTGTCATTATACATTCAATAAAAATTTGGCCAAAATGTAACACTGTCCTGAAATGCAGACATGTGGCCGGCGGAAGATGGGTCATAATCCATGAAAACCAACCATTAGGTTTGAAACATTGGTCGAAAAAACGGATCATTGACAGTACAACAGGTAGCCTATATAACCTCTTTGTTTGTAAAAACCTGATCCATAGCCTAAACATGTTTACCTGTGGAGACTCTACTAACTGTCTCAGAACCAGAAATATCTCTATTTTCCACTTAGACATCAATATAATTATAAAGTTCTTAGTTTTTATAATAGTTTTACTCCAATCTTCATTAAAAGTTACAATTTTATTTTATTTTTTTTGCAAGCGTATCCTTCAAAATTTTTAAAGTTTACCAGTTAGAAATATAGTCTCAGGAAATTCAAACACAATTTTTACAATTAGGCCTGGTTTTTAATTGAAGAGCTCTTAAGTAAATAACTTTAAAAAAAAAATTCTTAAAGGCGTGGATCTTTTTTTAGAAATTTTCAATAAATTGCATTTACTTGTTGTTTATCAAGATTTTTTCTTTTAGCTCTCTAACACAGAAAACAGTACTCAGTAGGGTATATTTTATTTTAAAAAGAAAGAAAGGTTTTTTCTTTTAATCTGGACCAAAACCAAACTAATCGGTGACAATGTTGCCTTCTTTGGATCCTTGTGAAGAATTGACATAGTTGCCGAAAAGATTGTCATCCACCATTAAAAGAGGTACAGGAATCACAAGACAAAATAACTACTTATTTATAAGTTAAAGGTGTTTCTAGAATACACAAAAATGAAATTATAATTAATTTATTTTTACATATATTTTTTTAGATGTATATAAATTATAAAATTGTTTTGAGATGTTGGATGTCCATTTACTAACGATACTTACTTGTATAATGAACTGACTAGAACGTAGTGAAAGGTCGATGGGTTGGTAGCATTCAAACAAATTTTTATAACTTCATTGTTATGAGGTTTTATCCGGAAACATGACACAAAGCAATCTATCATCAGATCCATGTCATGGAAAATATAGTTCTGACCTCGAGAGAAAGGCTTACTTGGGTTGAACAGCAAGGCCTGTAAACAAAGTGTTGATATTAGTTTTGAGTTGTTAGGATTTGTCAGAATCAATTCATTGACTCTTTCAACGAATAGCAAGAGCTTGTTATCACAATGTTTACTTTAAGCGTTAATTCAACTTTACCAAAGGAACAAACATAGGCAATATTGTTGTACTAAGGGTGTGATGTGGCTTTATTAAAAGTGTTAAATCTACCATACTCATTGCCCTAAAGTATGTGTATCTAGGATCAATAAAAGTTACTATCTTGTTAACATAATGACGTCTATTCTACAGCATTGTTCTTCGACTTCCTTCTTACTTATTCTTAGCTTCAATCTTATAACCTTAAAAACCTCATGAGAAAAATAGCGTTATTAGCTCTTGCAAAAAACTGTGGGTGAAATTGAAAACCCCCTGTAAAGTTTTGTTTGTAAATTAAAGAACAAGTAATACAAGTACCTACAAAAAAACAACAAACACAACAACACAAACACAAGTACAAATTATTACAAGTACAAGTTACAAGTAAGTTTCAAGTAATACATACTTGAGGTAATACTAGTGATGACCGATGCTGCAACACCTAGTACATTAGTCAATTTAAACGACAGACAATGAAACAGGTAATGTCAGCATTGTGTGTGGTGGTGACAAAAACTGCCTATCAAAACCAGAACCATTCGGAATGTGTACTGTAAATACTATAATGCATGAATAGGCCTACTCATAGAGCGTAAATTTTGAAGTATAAAATCAACCAATCATGATTGAAACTGTACTAATGTATGCACTAAGTGACATTCTTCACAGCGGGAGGACCATTGGCATTTGTGGTTACTTTGCACTGTGTTTTCTTGAGTGGTAATGACAAAAAATTGAGACAAACTTCATCAAGCAAAGTGTTTACCTTGAGATCATTAATAACATTCTGGACCAGCACAAACGCCACGTTGCTGGAGTCCTGGATGTTGATGTAGGTGGAAGCTTTACACAATTTGACACAAGTCACAGCCGCAGCTTCAGTCTGTTGTTTGCTGGTGCTGTGCGGCCCGACTGCTCGCTTTACACTGTCAATGAACTGCTTCTTCTTTGAGTGCCGCGGCGAGCAAGGTGCACCAGAGTCTGCATTCACTATCTCTTCTAATACTTTCTGCAAGTGAAATTAGAATTAGTTGTCAAAATTCCTATCGGAGAATAATCATAATGAATATTTATTTATTGCAATAATGCATTGACACTGTCATTACCTTAGATGTAATACAACTGCCACGCCATATAAGTTATTTTAAGAACCATCAACATATACTTTAAAGTTTGGGTTGACTCCAGGTTTAAAAATAAATTCCTTGTTATTGGTGGGGACTTTAATATAGACATACTCGTTGATAGTCCTCAATCCAGAGAATTCTCTAATTTATTAAATTCTTTTAATTTAAGATTGACAAATTTTAAGCCCACTCATAATAAGGCCTGCCTGGACAACTTTATAACAAATATAGATTTCACCAAATTTGTTCAAGACTTGGTTCCTTATAAAATTTCTGACCACTTTTCACTTAATATGAATATTTTAGATGGCTTTGTTAATGCTAGATCTAGGCCTAGTCAAAATAATGATCTCATAGAAATTCGTAAAGTAACTAATGATAGTTTATGTAGGTTAAATATATGTTTATTGAACACTGACTGGAGTGACTTGTTTTGTATTAATGATGTTAACGAGGCCTTTGATTATTTTTTAAATGTAGTTCTTTGTCAATTCAATGAGTTTTGTCCTGTAAAAAAAATTAAATCCAGTAAAATCCACTCTAGACCTAAGAAAAATAAAAATAAATGGTTTACACCTGAACTTGCAAAGATAAGGGAGTTTTTGACAATTTTTCACAACAGATTAATGGTAGAAGGTGATATAAATAGAAATAGAGAGTTTTATGTTAGGTGCAAAAAAATGTACAAAAGCAAAATCAAAGAGGCAAAGCTGAAGTTTAATGACCATAAACTCAATACTTGTGATAACAAAAGTAAGGAGGCCTGGAATATTATAAAGTCTGAATCTGGTAGTTTTAATAAAAATAAATCCAACCCTATTATAGATGTTGACAACTTCAATGACTTTTTTGTCAATGTAGCAAATTTTGATGGTTCAAACAACAATGCACTCTGCAACTGAAATAGGCCTAGTTCTTTTGATTTACTTAATAATCATCCAAAGCAATGTTATACTGAAAATCTTAACTTCATGTGGGAGCATGTATTTCCACAAGATATAGACTTAATAATCAATAATCTGAAAAACTCCACCAGCAAGGATTGTTATGGTTTAACAACAAACATTGTAAAAAAACTCAAGTATGCTCTTGTTCCTCCTCTGACATTCATTATCAATTTAGTTTTACAAAATGGTGTTTTTCCAAATAATCTTAAGCTTACAAAAGTTGTGCCTATTCACAAGAAAGGCGACACTTCATGTCCATCAAATTACAGACCGATTGTGCTTGTCCCGGTATTTGCTAAGGTTATTGAGTGTTGTATTTATAACCAAATAAGTGCCTTTTTTAGTAATCATAATTTTCTAAGCAACTCCCAGTTTGGCTTCAGAGCCGGTTTATCAACTATCGATGCTTGTAAGTCAGTTGTTGATGACATTCTGAATGCTTTCGAATCACACGCCTTTTTAGAGTTAACTTTAGTAGATTTAAGTAAAGCATTTGATTGTGTTTCTCATAGCCTGTTGATTGATAAGTTAAGTTACTATGGTGTAAAAGATAAAACTTTAGATCTATTTAAATCATATTTAGGAAATAGATATCAGATGGTATCAGCCAACAATAAAACCTCTCAGTGGAAAGAAGTCACAGCAGGAGTACCCCAGGGTTCTGTACTTGGCCCTTTTTTGTTTTTAATTGCAATAAATGATCTTCCATCTAATCTCCCTTCAAAATCAGTACTGTATGCAGATGACACCTCCTTAATAGTCTCAAGCAAATCTTTGCAAGAGGTAAAAATTAAAACTGAGGAGATGAAAATAGCAGCCGATAGTTGGTTTAAGGCAAATAAATTTTCAGTTAACAATGACAAAACTGTTTCAATTATTTTTTCACAGACAAATCTTGTATCTGAAGTATCAAATGCTAAACTGCTAGGAATCATATTAGACTGTAAGTTATCTTGGCGTAGTCATACTGAAATGGTTGTTGCAAGGTTAAGTAACTCTTTGTTTCTGCTCAGAAGGTTGAAAAATCATGTTAGTTTAAGTATGTTAATTAATGTTTATTATGCATTCTTTCATTGTCACTTAGTTTATGGGGTAATTTTGTGGGGCAGTAGTAGCGGGGCAGTTAACGTTTTTAAAAAACAGAAAAAAGCAATCCGTATCCTAGCTGGCATAAAAAGTAGAGTTAGTTGTAAGACCTTTTTTCCTGAATACAAAATTCTCACTTTACCAAGTGTGTACATTTTGCAGAATATCATTTTTGTAAAAACAAATATTGAACAATTCTCATCTCGCTCATTAACTCACAATCATTACACCAGACTAAGGAATAATTTAGAGTTACCATCATTAAGACTGGCCTCAACACAGCGCAGCTATAAATATTTACAACTTAAACTTTTCAATGCCCTCCCTGAAAATGTACGCAACTTGCCTATTAAGTCACTGAAAAATGTATTGACCGATTTTTTGAACAGAAAGGTTATCTACTCTATCGAGGAATTTTTATCTTTCAAACATGATGATTTTCTGTAAAATTCTAATTGTTAAGTAGGGTATTGTTTCTAAAGTATGTAATAATGGTTTCATGAACTGTGATATAATAGTCTTTCATAATAATGAATTTCTGTCAACTTTATTTAAAAATTTATTGTTATTTAGTTTTAAGCTGTATCTCACTGCCAATTTTAGCCTTAATTATTTTGTTTTATGTACTTACCCAACTTGTTTGCTTAACTATAAACAGTATTATTATCATCATTATCAATACATCTCAAATACTTTTGTACAAAAACTCAGTATTATTAGTTTATTAAGTATAGCATGTTCATCTATTTACACTTGACTCTGTACATTGTACTTTGAATTGTATATTATCTCCATTGACCTGGCCTATTGTATGACATGTATACTTAATGGCAATAAACTATTTGAATTTGAATTTGAATTTGAACAGTACTATCAGCGAACTTATATACTTTCTCACATTAGCCTGAAATTAAAATTGAACAATTGTAAGGTTAAGCAATGGGGTAGTTTTAAGTTTATATGGTGAAAATCTGAAAAACTTAAATATTTTAATTTTTACAGCATTACAGGTTGTTCCATTTTGTTCAGAAGACTAAATTGTAAACAACGTTCAAGCCACTTTTGGGAATATTAGGTGTTTCTGTTATTTTATAGATTTGTATGCCGAAATCACCATTTAAATTCTAAATTTCAAAATATTTCAATAGTAAAAATCCAAACTCTTGTAGTGATAAATTAAAAAAAGAAATACAATTACAAAATTAAACTACATTACAGCTATGAAAAACAAATATATATAATAATGGCTGAAGCTGCACACTTTTACACTTGGAAAGATTTTCCAGTTTATAAAGGGGATATCCTAAAAAAATATTTCCATTTCATTCAATTTCCTAATAACCATAATACCAGTACAGCTTTATGTTGCAGTTCTTTAGGAGATCTGTGTATAATCTGATGTTGATCAAAATTGTACATTTTAATAGATAACATGATATTACCAGCTGTTTGAGGTTTTATTTAAACAATGAAGAAATCACAGTTCCTACTTTTATGGATCATTGACTAACCTTCAAAGGTTTTGTCCCGTTTGTAAAATAAAGAAAATATAAAGCAAGGAGTGAGCCGGTACAGTAAGAAGGTGAACTGTACTGATAAAATGTTTGCGTCCAGGATCCGAACCCACAACATTGCTGTCTTGGGCCCGAAGTCAGTGACGCTACCATCTGAGCCACCGACTCACCATTAAGAGTAGGTAAGCAATATGATGAAAAGTATTACAAGTTAGTAGATAATTGATTTAACTTACTGGGGATAGAATGAGAAGCATTATTTGCAATGGCCACACAGTCTGCCTGCCTTTCTTGTTTGACTCTGCAAATGTGTCTAATATGTCAAACAAACTGTCGCAGCACTTGGCCAATTCTTCATTTGGATTTTTCTAAAACAAACCCAAAACATGCTCATATTATTATTATAAGACATTCTGCTTGGTTTTTTTTATAACTTCTAAATGTACATTTTGGGCATACCTCAAAAATGATTGATCAAAATTAATATATGAAACAGTACATACACACAACACATTTATACAAAAAACAACACATCAGCGCTATCATGTTGTAGAAATGCAAGCCTTGTCATGATAGTGCTATCAAGTTGTTTTGTGCATACATACTGTTTTGCTGTATAAATTTTCAAGTTTTTTATGTGTTGCAAGTTCTGAAGAAGTTGGATTGCAACAAAATATGTAACCTTTAAATAATTGAGCTAAGCCTTAAATGTCGTATACGAAGCCCAGGAGCTATCAAAACTGTTTGTCTGTTGTCTGTTTTTTGCGAAATAAAAGATATTTTGATTTGATTTGATTTGATATCAGAATGAATATTATGTATACAGTAATTTTATAATTTATCATGTCTTCTCTTAGTTTAGAAGGGCATTGACTTAATATGTGGACACATATTATCACAGGTCAACTACTTCCATTAATTGATGTTAGCGTTTATTTGCCATCTGAAAATTTTGAGTGATCGAAAATGAATATGTTATTATGACTGCAAAGCGCCTGATGATCTTATGTTGCACTTGGCATTATCATCATATTACTGCAAATGCAAAAAGTGATCGGGATTTTGCCGAGATGACAAAAGATTATATTGAATCCAAAGACACAAAGTTACAAAAAACAAGACATTTAACAAATTCTTAAGATCAAAATAACTTTTCAGTTAAGAGACGAATATTGGTCTATCATTTTGAATAAATTGGAATATGAACAATACATCAGTTTGTAACCATACTTTCATACAAACGTAAAAATAATAAATTTACCTGAACATCTGCAAACTCATGAGGATATGTGTCCATCCAGTTCCAAATGGCCTTTTCCAGGGAAGCCATCAAGACAACATGTGCTGATTTTTTTAATAACAATAATTTTTTGATTGCCTCTGAAATCAAAATAAACGTATGTTATTTGTTAGCACACATGAATCCTTCATGTGGATGAGAAAAAGACACAGGCCATGTACAAACTATTACAACGAGTTTCATTAATATTGTATAGCACTAGCAAATATTTACTACTTTTTTTTATAAACCTTTTAAAACATGTATTATTTTAAAGTATCACTAAGCAGTAAAATAATTCTTAGTAAAAAATTACCGGTGCTTAAATACTTAGCCTACAAAGTAACTACACTGAAAGTAACAAGAAATATATACATCTGTAGTTTTTTTTAGTCAATATCTACTGTGCTCATTAACATTGATACAGTCACATTAATATTGCATCAGTACCATCCTAAATATCTTACAAATTTTTTTCATAATATTCCTTATCACTGTGTATCTGCAAATACATCTCAATGTTATTTGACATTGGTAGAACTAATCCTACAATTCATTAACACCCTGTCTATTTTTTATCCAAAATAGATTTTAGTAATTAAAATTTGGAATTTCAAATTTGTTGATTAATTTGCATTACTAAGAAACACTATCAACATCAACAGTTAGTTGAGTTTTCTAATTAGCACATGACGTCTTCTCCATTTGGTAAGGTTTCATAGTATAAAATCTCAGCAAATAATTATAAATTAGGCTTTGAGACCTCGTGGTTTAAAATACCACAATATTATAAAGTAATATGAACATCAATCTAGCAGTTTGAATGGCTTTCCCTTTCATTGATCTTACAATAATAGCTGATGATTATATTTAACCAGCCTCACCATTAAGGAGACGAATAAGTCGCACAACATCCACATTGATGTGTTGAATAAGCTCAATGTCACTATAGTCAGGGTTCTCTTCATTGCAATTACTGAGGGCTTGAAGCCTGAAAGATCAAATAAAATCTTGTAAATTAAGGTCTACAATGAGCTCCGGTCATGGCTAAGCAAGCTAGTTTAAATCTGAGACAAGCTTTGTGTTCTTTACTTCCTTCGCTACTATTCTAGGTAGTTCCCACTCCTCTCATGGGATTGGTCTTATCATAACAGCCAAAAAGAATGTGAAGGAAAATCAATACACCAATCCTGTTCAAATTTTGTTCTGCGATTAGATTTTTAAGGTCTAAGACGTCAAGTGCTAGTGAAGTATATTCTCAGTTAAAGGACATAAAGTAAAGGGTTTGGAAGAAGAAAATTTGCATAAGAATTGGAGGAAGTTCAGAGGAGGTCGTAAACATTTGTACAATGTTTACAAATTTTTCATTATGTAGGCCAAAATGCAGTCATCCGTCAGTATTGCTTGAGGGGAAATTTTCATTTAGATGAAATGACTGAACAAGAGACTGATGATAGGGGACATCTCTAAAAGACCATCAAGGGCAACAGGAAACAGTGATAATCTAATGCACACTGAACAACAAGCATGAGTTTCCTCAACTTTAATCTTTGTCTGGAACAGATAATCACACACTGCCGGTCTCATTGTACAAATTTGTATGTCCTTTTGTGAACTCCCAAAGTCACTTATGCACATTTTTTACATGCTAACACTTTCAATGAGTTTAATCAGAAGAGCTGTCTAAAAATCTGGTAGTTAAGTTATAATTTTACTTAAAATAAAATATGTTCCTGGGATGTTGACAATTAGTTTAAAATAATGTATAACATGACTTTCATAGTTCCCTAAACCTCTCCCTCCATTCCTACTAGCATTTTTTTCAAGTGCTTGTCATGTTTTCGATCTATTGAAACATCTATTGATAAATCAACATCATAAGCTATTTCTAAATCAGTCAGAAATTGTTTATAATTACTAGTCTTAGCATAAAGGTTTGGGATTCACAGGGCATGGAACCTTCTTTTGGCATGATACAATGAGAGAAATTTATTTCAAATTCAATTAAAAATGTAATTTTTAGCTGGTGGGATTTAAATATGTTTGTCATTGATTGCTTATAATATTATTTTGTTAAAATAATGTGTGGTAGGCTATTATAGATTTGTGTTTTGAAGTTTGAAGAAAGATATCCTTAGAATGAGCCGTATGTAGGTGATCACACAAGCCTTTACACAATTAAAACAATTGCATGGTCTTTGTAGTTGACACTTAGCTAAAGACCTTTACTAATAATATTTTATAACAATAAATGTAGATTTAACTTATAAGAATACTACCTTAAACTATTATACACTCACACTATTCTCCAAACGAAAAGGATTAAATATGGACCTGGTTGCGACTTAGGTCTAACACAAAATAACGCCAGGTAAGGTGCGAACCCTGAGGGTTGTATTGATGGTCCCGATCTGGAATACTGTGACGAACGATTCTGGGTCAACAGAGTAGAGGGGGTGTTTTTAGAGAAAATATGACGATGCCATATGTATGTCTTGTAGGTTTTTTTATTGCAATAAATTATTTGATTTGATTAGAGTAGTTATGTGTGTGTAAAACATTTTTTTCAGTCCCTCCCTTAAAGAATAACAATCCTAAGACCATTTTGGAGAGTAATAGAAACAATTTAACTTTCACTTTTCCTTGTTGCCCACACCCTTCTATCTTACTCTACCGGACATTAAATATAGGCCTACCTTGCAGAGATGCGGTTGAACACAGCAATGAAGAAGTTGAGACTCAGAGCAAACAAAACTTTTGAAGCCAAATTCTTCAACTGCAGAACATTTGGATTGTCATGGGGCACATCTGATAGAATACATTCAAACAATGTTACAAGTTACAAAATAGTGAAAATATGATGGTATAGTTTACCTCGTCAAGTAATCAAAATTTGATAAGATCAGGGTCAATCAAATGATCTCCATAAACTTTGATTACTTGACGGGGTAAATGGGCCCTCACCATAGAATTTACAAAAAAGTATTTTGCAATAAAATAATTAAACTTGTTTAAATATGTTTGTGTAGGATGGTTACATTCGGTATATAGTCAATACTCAAACAGCCCACAATAAACCCGAGAAGTTTTGTTTGGAATGCTGCAAATTTCTTATTTTATTTGAATGTATAATGTCAAAAATCTGTTTGAAGTACTGGTAGATGACCAGTTTCAATATGGTTTACAACCATCCACAATTCTACCCTTTTGGTGTTTTAATCCAACCGATAGAGCCAAAAGTGCTATATTAGAGATGCTACTACAGCTACTTTCCCCAAGGATTAATTTACCAATATTTTGCTGGTAATTTCAGTAATAAGACTCACCTAAAAATTGGCATATTTCTCGCAGAAGCAGCTTGACATTCATGGTCTCATCAAAGCGAGTGTTGTCCTTGGGCTGGTTTGACAAGCAACTCTCCAGGGTGTCCAGGACTATCAGCAAGGACTCGTAACAGCCACGCTCAAAGTCCTGACTGTGGGTCCTCGGGCCATTGGTCAGTGCAAGAAACTGAACAACAATGCTCAGTTAACCAAAACTTCACAATTTAACATTAAATACCTTTTCAATTACATTTTTATAACTGTAAACACTTTTATTTATATTTTAAAATTTAACAACATGCAATATAGTGGACATTATGTAGTGCTTACATTGTTACATCTTTTACTTTTTAATTTGTAGGAAAAATTCATTCTAGAAATCCATAAAAACATTTAACTTTTGTTAATGACTAATGTCTATAAATTACTAACAAATAAAAGAACAATTTAAATATGTGCAGCAATATTCAGGAGCCAACTTACCATTTCATTCACTCTCTGTAGAATTTTTGTAAGTCCAGAGATTACTAGAGAAAACCGATAACGGCTAATTTGTATGAGGCATGATTTGATTTGCTCTTCATTGACTCTGGAGTGAGTTGTCTGAGGTCCCGTCCGACAAGGAAGCTGTAAGGATGAATTGTGTTTTAAAGTGGTTGAAAATAACAATAAGCCTATAGGCAAAGGCTTCTTTATTAGGCTATAAGATATTAGACAAAAAATGCAATTTCTAAATCCGCTCATGGGTTCACTCATGGGATTTAAACGGATATATATACATCTAAGTTATAGATGATGCAGTCCAAGGCAGCGATGTTGTAGGTTCGGATCCTGGTACCTGCCCCTACTTTATATCAGTAGGCCTACAGTTCACCCTTGCACTGTATCAGCTCAGCCCTTTTTTAACGGGATACGATCATCCACAGGTCTCTGTGGCCCATGTGGATGGGGCAAATGCCAGGTAAAAGAGACCACCAACCTACAGTTGACTCCCTCTTATCCGGACTCCTCGTGACCGAGGCCAGTCCGGATAACGGTTTTTCCGGTTAACCCGAGGTCCCCCAAAACTTAGTAAAACGGACCATTTAAATGCATACTGTATAAGCCGATAATGATTATTACATATTTAGACCTGTGATCACTGGTCTCTAATCTTTCCTACGAGAACTGTTGTTTCAGTGCCACCCATTTCCTGCTGATCCAGTCCGGTTAAACCGATGTGCTGATAAAATTGTCCGGGTAAAGGGACGTCATTTCCGCCAAGTGTAGTCCGGTTGAACCGATGTCCGGTTAAAAGGTGTCCAGATAAAAGAGGGAGTCTACTGTATATTAAAAAAAAATATATATATATATATATATAAAATATATATATATATATATATACTAGCTGACCCGGCGAACTTCGTATCGCCTAAGTTATAGGTTTCCCCTAAGACAGACCGATGGAAAGAAAGTACCGTTACGTTTAATTTTCAAGATGATCTCGTTCGCATCGCTCAATCACGTCCTGGTTGAAGTTCGTTCGCTACGCTCACTCACCTTTAGGTTGGAGCTTGTTCGCTACGCTCACTCACCTCCATGCAGGTTCCATGCAGGCCTGAACGCAGGTTGAAGTTCGTTCGCTACGCTCACTCACCTTTTGGTTGCAAATTAGCTGTTGTCATAAATGTAAAAGAAATAATAGTGCTGCACCCTGTTGGTAATCCTTGTAACTTTAATGCTATTGAACATCATAGAACAGAACCAACTTGTTTAATTGAAACAGCTGTTAAGATTCATTAATTCCATTTCTCATAAGGTTAACATGGGAAACTCCAGAGCCACTGGGGTGGAGCCCTTTTAAGAATTTCGAAACGGGAAATAGTTTACGTCCGATTCGCATACCTACAGAATTTACACACCAAATTTCATAGCGATCGGTGAAGTCGTTCCGGAGGAGTTTGCAGACAAACACTGTGACACGAGAATTTTATATATTAGATATATTGTTTTGTGATTGTGCGTAGGTAGTGGATTTACAATTTTCCACTGCAATGGAGTACAGTGAAGGTGACATGATAGTCTATGACATCTGTTATATCCATCATAACAGGGATTTTTTTATAACAAATTACCAAATCCCTTAATACAGCTTATAGGATTTTGGCACAATAATAATAATGAAATAGAATCTGATATTGCACAGATAGGCCTAAATATTGACTGAGGTCTGGACATCTTGCTCACACTAGACTGTGGGTTGCACAAGATCGCAAGAAAATACTCGGTTAATAACATTTTAAATAATATAATTAAACCTAGCCTATTTATAAATACTTAGCTCAGGAATATAACATAACAAATATCAGTGTGTTGCTATCCCATCTTAAATAATTGATAATTGATTGATTATCCTAGTGAGTACAGTGCAACAAGAGTAGGGCCTAGCAGGTATTACACCAGAATATGCAAAAGATCAAGAGATTTATGGTGCTAAGTTGCCATAAATAATGCTATAAAATTATATTTTAGGCCTAGGCCTATTATTTAAATCTGAAATATAAGTTAACTGATATTTACACTGAAAATATCTGAGCCATATATTTGTAAGCGGTAATTGTCCATTGATTTAAATTGAGCTTGCCCACATAATAATGAGTAAACAATAAGCTAAGCTCTAAAGCATAATAATTTTGAATTAGGTAGGCCTTGGATGAAATAATCTGTTCTAGATTATTGACTACTACAATCATAATAGTTGTACTGTAATAAGAGTGATATGAGATAGTCAATTGTTTGTTTGTTGATCCTATTGATATAACTACTGTCTAGCCCTGATAGTTTCATTCATCTTTCGTTCCATTCATAACCGGTAGTGTATTGATTATGACAGGCCCTATACATTACTAGTGACTTTGCTTTAAATTAAGACATAATCACTTACTTGTTCCTCAAAACGAGTAATTAGGGACGTAACCCACTCAACAGGCTTTTGAGTGGCCATTTCACAACAGGAATTCTTTTATATCTGTCAAAATTGACGACAAGGTGTCACTAAACTACCACCATGACACCATGTTATTGCGCTGGCTGCTCGGCTGCTGGGTTTTTAATTCCCATTCGGAAGGCTGAGCTGAGGCGAGCGTTTCAGGGCAGGAATTGGACTAGCCTACTGCGCATGCGCCAGAAAGAACCAGCTCAGTTGTATTTGGTCTTCAGCGAGTCGACTCATGAGTCATAACTTACTAGTTCAGTTCAGTTTCAGTTCTGCGCAACGATGTAAAAACAAAAACTACATCGAGTTGTTTATATCGTTGGTTCTGCGTTCTGCTGTTAGCTACCTCCGTGAAGAATGACGGTTGATTTACGACTTGAGTCAGTCATCTCTGTCACCCCATCATCCCTTGCATTTTAAGTACCGGTACCTATTCAGTACTTTAATACTGACTATGGGAATGGACTAAAAATTGAGTTTTCCTATTTTTTACCCTAAAATTATTTTTTTTGTATTTTTCAAGTTATTTTGTGGTACTTGGCAAAATTAATAATTCAAACTTATATGTTCAGAATATACCATTAATATTCCAGAGCACTTTACTAGAATATTCTCAGAATGTTCTCCAGATCTCTAGGCTATATAAAAATTTTCTTAGAATATTTTTGTTGAGTGATCTGAGTATATTCAAGGAAGGGATGTTGAGAATGATCTCAAACATTTTGGAAAATTCCAGGAAATCCTATATTATTTTTCATGTTGTATTTAAATGTTATACGGTATATACAAGTAAGTTTTTTATATACAAATTTTTAGATTTTCTCGAATTTGATGTTGGCAGATATTGATTGCAGTCCATGCCCTGGAATTTGAGTAGAGCAGAATCATTGCAATTATATAATAAATTGAAATACCATCCAGAGAAAATATAGGAAATAAGGTCAACACTTGGTTTGGTATCAAATTAAACTTACCAAATTTAAAAAAAAGAGTTTTAGGAATTTTTTACATACTTCAACCTCCTTTGTTTGAATAATCTTTATGTTAGTCTGGAATTTTCAGATTTTATTTTAGTTCCTTTATACATTTAAACAGACCAATGCATCTGCAACTATGCATGCAACTTAACGATTGCAATACAAAAACACCAATAAATGATAACAATGGTATATAAAAAGCTGTTATGTTTACTATTTTATATTTTTAAAGTGCATATTATATTATGCAAATATTGACTACATCAGAACTTATGTTTAGAAACAAAGTAAAAAATAAAAGAAGTATAAAAAATTATTACAGCTGGAAATAGTGGCATTGTAAATGATCATTCAATTTTAATAGTTTATGTAGAACATTTATTTTAAAACATATAAAGTATATCATAAACAGTGGTAATTTATCACAACAGTCCGTACTATCACACCTCACACTGATAACAAAACAGTTTTAAGTCTTCAATCAGTTCACCAGCACCTCAATCAATGACTCTGTAACAAAAAAACTGTGTTTTAGGTTTAATTTAATAAACTTGGGCAACACATTCAATGCGAAGCCTACAGCGTAGTTCACACCAGTAAACATATTGTATGTGGTACTATGGGGTTATTGCATGAATTTTTGGCTGTTATTTTTTTATTCGTGTAACTATAACATAGTAAAATATACAGTACAATAGACTCCCTCTTATCCAGACTCTCGGGACCGAGGTCAGTCCGGATAATGGGTTTTCTGGTTAAACTGACGTCCCACAAACTCATTAAAACTGACCGTTTAAATGCATACTGTATATACAGTATTTGACTAAAATGTAGTAGAGCATTTTATTTAGACAAGTAATCACTGTTCTCATATCCTTAACACAAGAACAGTCGTTTCAGTAATGCTTACCTCCCACTTCCTGCCGACCTAGTCCGGTTAAACCGACGTGCTGATAAAAATTGCCCGGTTAAAGAGATGTAATTTCCACCGAGTGTTGTCTGGTTTAACCGATGTCAGGTTAAAAGGTGTCCGAATAAGAGGGAGTCTACTGTACCTTATCATGGCTATTAAACATGGTAATAACAGGGACGTATTTAAGTATCTGCCGCCTCTAGGCAACAAAATTTGCCGCCGCCCCTCCCGCTCCCACTTTTCAACGCACTCCCCGACCTCACTAATATCACCCCAATGGCCAATACATGCCCTGTCAGCTGGTTTTGTGGAAAAATAATTGGTAATATTGCATGCTGCATCAACAAATTTAATAACTTTTCACCACACTATGATGTTTTTAGCTGTTTTGCATGCGTTAATTGGTGGCTGAAAGTTACGATTTAAAGCCCAAATGACGATTTAAAGTCATCGTCATCTGGGGACCGAGCAGGTTCTTAGATCCCTAGGGCCGCAAAATCAGCTGATCGCTTACTTTTTAAAACATGAATGCATATTAAATACACAATCAGTATCCATAGCATTGCAATAGAATTGTTTTATTGTCACCGCTGCCTAGTAACTATTTATTTTAACTTTTGCTGATTCCTCAAATTATTTTTTTCACATAACCTTAAAGTTCTAGTTGTGTTGACTATCAGTGTGCATCATTATTGTGGTGAATTAAGGTGCTATTTAGGTATAGTGTGGTGGGAAATAGCGTTCGTACCACGGACCGAAATGGTTTTGCAGCTCTCGATCGTTTTAAGTTGACTTCGTCTCGAACCTAAAAACTATCTCGAGCCGGCGAAACCTCATTTTCGGCCCTAGGTACGAAATATAGTATTTCGACCCCTTTTAACGGACTTTTTTGTGCCGTTTTTTTGCAAAACACTCTGACTTGGATAGGCCTACACGGAATGCAACTTTTTTTATCTAATCAGTATTTTTACAATCCCATTTTGCGGCTTGAAACGGCACACAAAATCGTCTGTATACAATGGTTCTTATAACGCTTTTCATTGAACACTATTAGTCAGATCCACTTGAGAGACGTGCTATTGGCTTTGATTTGAAATGAAAGAAATATGTTTTCTTATACTTTTTATTTCTTCCAAAAGCACATGAATCGCAAAGAAAAATTACGTATACTGAAAGAATAATATACAATTTTTAATTAGTTAAGTTTGGTACAGTGGTAAGTATTTAGTTCACACTTTCCTTCTTGGTTTTAACCTATCAAAAGGATCTTTCAGCTATAGAGCTGCCGCTGCGTAGTGGTGTATGAAGTAAACAGAAGGGAGTGTTTTCAACGTTTGTCACTACATAGCGGCCGGCACCCGGCACGGCGACTCGCTCCCGCGGCGAGCGTGTCCGCCAGACCAATAGGGCAGCACGGACAACTCTACACAGCTGTGTGATAAACTATTGACGTTTGTTTGACTTGGATGCGTTCTGAAATAGTTGTATACTTCATCAAAATATTTGAAATGGCTATTTTGCCGTTCCCAAAATTATTTCTCATTTTTTTAGATTAAAACTTAGTTTTTTTATTTTTTTACCCTCCAAATTTTGCCGCCCCTAAAATTTGCCGCCCTAGGCGGGCGCCTAGTCCGCCTATTCGGAAATATGTCCCTGGGTAATAATGTTCCCTAATATGCAGCAAGGAAAATCAATTTTACTTAGCCTAAATGCAAAGCGAAGAAGACTGATTCTGAAAATTACATTGCACTGCAACAGCAATGTTATGGGGTAAAGTTCTGCAGAGAAACTTTAATGTATTATACTACCTATCCTATCAAATTTTCAATTTCTATAAATTAATAGGCCTACTGACAATAGCTTCAAATTTATATAAAATATATTGATTAAGAAATAGGCCTGCTTATTAATCTGTTAGCCTATGGGCCTTTTTAAAAAGAGTGCCACCCGCCAATCTTTTACAGACCATTGTGGCGTTTAGGTTATGTTAGCTTATAGGCCTACCACATAGAAAAAAACCACGCACCTGTTTGAGTCGTGCATGCAGGACAGCAGGAGAGTCAGAGTGGGGGGAAAGACACCTCGCCCCAACGACTTATCCCCACCACTGCTCCAGGCCCTTCCCAACCGTCACCCTTCACCTCTACGTGCGCGAGACAGCCATGGTTCTGCGCAGGTTCTTTTGAAAGTGGCAGGCCTATTGTTTATAAACAAACAAGGCACCATTAACAAAATTTTTAGCTTTTTTCTATAAGCTAAGTTACTCATGAAAAGACACGACTATGTATAATTTGGCGCTTTTGACAATCAGTTTTGATAGAAAACTGTACAACACTAACCCAACCCAATGATGATGCTATTGGAACAATTTGTATTTATCTAGGTGTTACCTGGTTTTTAGCGAATTTCCCATATAGGGAATGAGCTATTACCGTAGGTCTCATGGTAAGACCTAGACCCGGGACCGATTTACTTTTTCGTTTTGAGGTCCCCAGAGGCCAAAAACACCATCCGATCAAACTCATATATATATTTATATATGTGTCCGTTAGCGCGATAACTCGAGCAAAATTGATCCGATTTTGATTAAATTTGGTACAAACGTGTAAACATACATTTATTCAAACGAGATTGCGAACCAGCATAATCGGACCATGGGATCAGGGGTCTATGGGGGGTTTTATGGGGTAAAAATGGGGTATTCTCATTGTTGACCCTAAAAACTTAAAATTTCTAAATTTCTCTCTAGACCATTTTGAAAGAGCTTAAAAAACAAATAATTTACTACATTGAAATGTTTTTGAATGTTCATTGACTACGGAGAAAATAAAAAAAAATTTTAATTTAAAATTCCCATGTTATTCTTATGGAGAATAAATAAACTGTTCTAGTTTGCTTGTTTATAGATATATTTTAATCAAATTTGGCAATTTGGTTTATTTCATACTAAGCTATCAATATTTCAATTGAAAAAACACATCTCAACATCTTCCCCGTAGCAGCAAACCTAACTAAGTTAATCAGTACTCACTAAAATTAATGTTATTTAAATAGGAAATAAATCTGAAAATTTATAGGGAATATTTTAGTAGATATCAAGCCGGATAAATGGAAATTCGCTTAGTATGCAGGTTTGCTGCGACGGGGGTATTATTAACATAAACTAAACCAAACTGAACTAACCTTG